AAAACTCTTCATTGAGAAAGCTTGCTTTCTGTTCCTTGTAATTTGGCATCGTTCTCATTGCAACTGGCTTATTACAACATATGCATCGTTCTTAAACACATGCTAGTACATAATTAACTATACTAGCTATGGAGCCATCCGTCCAAGTGACTGTGGTACGTTAGATGGTACTGGGGTGGGTGGTGGGAATGTTGATAGAGCCGTTGAAAATAGAGAAACGTGGGTGGAGGGAAATGAACTCCAACCCACGGTTTTTGTAGTTGGAGAAGGGCGTTTAGCGCGCTTCGACGCTGCCAAATATTCGGTACAGGCAGCTTCGCTTTCACAATACACAATTTTGAAAAACACGAATGTGTTTAAAAATTATAATATCTCGACCGTCGTGCGCCTACACGGGTTACCTTCGGCGATCGTCAGCGATCGAGATCCGAAATTCACGTCGAAGTTCTGGCAGGAGACATGGGCACAGTACGGTACCCGCCTGCAGTTTTCGTCGTCCTACCACCCGCAGACCGACGGACAGACAGAGAGGACAAACCAGACGATGGAGCACTTGATTCGCACGAACTGCCCCGACATCTACTCTCATCGACGCGACTCGTCGAAGAAACTCACCGTGGAGCAAGAGGAAGAATTGGCGCGCCGCGAAGCTGAGGAGCTTCGCCAGCAAAGCCTCGCAGAAGCACGTGGGACCTTCGCTTGCGCCACCTGGGGAGCTGAGGCTGAAGAAAGTGCCTCCAATGAAGGGGGGTGGGGGAGCGCTGGAGGATGGGGAACAAGTGACACTAGCGGCTGGGGAGACAACGGCGGAACCTGGGCCAACGCGAGCGGCGGATGGGGCGCCGCAACTAGCGCCGACAATAGCGGCTGGGGTACTTTCCGCGAAGAACGAAAGGGGGGAGAGGATGAAGCTGAGGAAACTGAGGCAACACCTGCAGTCGTTCCTCTTGGTCGTCCCCTGCGTCACATTCCACTCGCACCACCTCCTCCTGACAACCCCCCGCGTCGCAATCCATGGGACACCATCATCTGGGGCAACGAGCCGTCAACCCCGCGTCGCACCGTCTACGGACCTGCCCTTGAGCCACGCGAACCAACCTTCGTCCCTGGAACCATCCCCGGGACCAGCATTCTGCTCTCTGAGATTCGCGACAGAGAGTTCTTGGCGCTGATGCTGACTACCGCACCAGAAGAAGAAGAAGCAGAGGGAGTAGCAGCAGAACCTGCTCCTGTACCTGACGAAGACCCTGAGGAAGCGCGCGCGCGCTACATGCGCACCTCCGGCTTTCGTGCTGACGATACTCTCTGGCACCAGCGCCTCGGACACCCTTCACGCGCGACGCTGAAAAACTGCATCGACGCAGGCGTCTTCGCTCCTAGCGCACTCCTGCGCCCTGATGGCTCCGAAGTGAGAGGCGCGACACATCCGCGCAACTGCACCGTCTGCCCCGAAGCTGCGCTGAGCCACCAACCGTTCCCGCTGCTCGAACCTGGAACAAACCGCTACCCCAAGCTACACAAGGTGTACAGCGATTTCCTGAACGTGGGGCATTGCGGAGTCGAGGACGAAATGTACACGCTCGCCTTCATCGACGCTGGAACGAGCTACGTGTGGGTCGTGAACGTGGAGTCACGCGACAGAGCCTACGAGGTGTTTCGCCTCTGGCTGGCGCACGCGGAGCGACAGTCTGGGAAGAAGCTGAAAATCTGGCAATCTGACGGCGCGGCAGAATTCAGGAGCAACCAGATGCAAACCTACCTCACGCAAAAGGGGATCGAGCACCACATTTCTCTCCCCTACGCACACCAGCAGCAGGGCGTAGCTGAGCGGACGAACCGCACGCTAATGACGAAGGTGCGCGCGCTGATGAAGCAGTCGAAATTGCCGCCGATCTACTGGACCTACGCGATGCACCACGCCGTGCGGGTGCACAACCTACTTTCGACCACCGCCATCACCGGCAATCTGTCCCCGCACGTCAAATGGACCGGGACCAAAGGAGATACCTCCATGTTGCGCGTATGGGGGTGCATGGTTCAATACCGCCCGCCGACTTCAACCATCGGCAAATTCGCCAGCCGCGCGCGCTGGGGGATCCATCTCGGCATCAGTCACGAGTACAAGGCGTGGATCGTGCTGGACCTCCTCAGTCAGAAAATCGCTCACGCTCGCGACGTCATCTTCTACGAGCGCCTCTTCCTCGACCAGTTCCGCCGCGACGAAGAAACGAACGCGAACCGCGTCTACGCGAACGATGGGCACAGCTACGCAACGCCCGAAGACGAAGCCGCTGCAGCGATCTTGGAGCAGGACACGAGGGGCGAGTTCGTGTGGGAAGAACGACGCAGCAGCGACGACGACGACGACGATTCCTCGGGAGGAGGAATGGGCGCAGCAGGCCGAAGCGGAACAGGCGGAAGCGGCAGAGGCACAGCACCATCAGCGCCTCCTGAACCAGAAAGCGATGACGACGACGTACAGGAAGTCATCCCGCAACGTCGCCACGACAGCACTATCTCAGGACTGCGGCTGCTCGGACTTCACACCGCAACTTCGAAGGCGCCACGTGTCATCGAGCCCCGAAATCCGCGCGAAGCTCTTTCTGGACCACACAGCAAGGAATGGCACGAAGCAATGGACGCAGAGATCAAGGCGCTGGAGTCACGAGACACCTGGGTGCTAGTCGACCGCGCGGCGATCAAAGGCGCAAGAATCCTCTCGGGGAAGTGGGTCTTCCGCGTGAAAACCGCAGCGGACGGAACGATCGAGCGCTTCAAGGCGCGTTGGGTGGTTCGCGGCTACGATCAGAGGCATGGCATCGACTTCGACCAGACGTTCGCCCCAGTTAGCCGCCATACCTCCGTTCGAATCCTGCTCGCCATTGCAGCTGCAAGGCACCTACCACTCCGCCAGATCGACGTGAAGAACGCGTTCCTGTACGCGTTAGTGGACGCCGTGATCTACGTGGAGCAGCCGCACACCTACGGCGAAGGGGACTCGCGCGTGTGCCAACTGCGCAAGTCACCCTACGGGATCAAACAGGCTCCAAGGCTGTGGCAGCAGTACCTGCACAACATCCTGCTTGAAATCGGATTCAAGCAGATGCCGCACGATCCAAGGATGTATCGCCGCGAATTCCGCGGGGAATACATTCTCCTCACGGTGTATGTCGACGACCTGCTTTACACAGGCTCAAACAACGAGCTTCTCGAGCAGTTCGAGAAGGCCTTGGCGGGGCGCGTCGACATCACGTGCAACTACGAGGTGAAGCAGTTTCTAGGCCTCAACATCTCCTACGCGCTTGAGGCCATTCATCTCTCAGCGGCTAAGTACGCAGAGGAGTTAGGGAAGCGGTTCAACATTCCACCTGCACCTCTCCCAACTCCCTACCGAACTCCCGGACCGAACCACAAACCCGACAACAAACCCCTATCCCCTGCTGGGATTCAAACGTACCAGCAGCAGTTGGGATGCCTCCTCTTCGCCTCTGTCACCTGCAGGCCAGACCTCTCGTACATCGCCAGTCAGCTGGCGCAGTACTCACGCAAACCAACGGCTGAGAATCTTCTGGATCTGCAGCGCGCCCTTCAGTTCTTCGTTTCAACGCCCAAGATTGGGCTGTGCTACTCAACTGCACCAACTCCATCCTTCAACCTCATCGGCTATGTGGACGCCGATCACGCAGCAGACCCCGATAATCGACGGTCCAGGACTGGCTTCCTGTTCCGACTCGAGCCAACGGGACCAATCTCCTGGAGCTCGCAGAAGCAGGAGCTGGTTGCCCTGTCGTCAGCCGAAGCGGAATTCATCGCAGCAACCGCAGCAGTTCGCCAAGGCCTCTACTTGCAGGAACTCCTGCAAGAGGCGAAGATTCAAGTTTCGCCCACATTTCGCCTTCACTGCGACAACCAGAGCGCGATTCGCATCGCGAACAAACCTGGTTTCGTCAACCGCACCAAGCACATTGCACTGCGGTACTTCTTCGTGAAGGATGAGGTGGACAAGGGCAAGGTCAACTTGACCTACTGCCCGACCGGTGACATGGCAGCAGACTTCCTCACGAAGCGACTGCCACGCCAGCAGTATCAGCACTGCTCCGAACTCAGCGGCGTGGTCAAGCAGGTCAAGTCGAGCTACGGCCAGGAGTGAAGGGGGGTGTTACGAATAGTAATACTTGAATATTACTGTGCACTCCTCACCGCATCAAAGAGAAGCACGCAGTATCGCGAATGAACGCGAAGCGTCAGACGGTTGGAATCGACTCGAAGCGTCAGACAGTTGGGACGCATCTGGACCGTCGGAGCAGACAGCATCAGGCAGCTGCAGGCAGGATGGTTTCGGCGGGAACAGTTTCGTAACTGTTCGCGCCGCACGGTTGGGAATGTATTTGAATAAGGGAATGTACCCCTTAGAGTACATGGATAGCTAGGTCGTTTCATCTCCCCTGTACTCATATTTATATTTGCTGTATTTGCATGTTTTAAATCATCTCAAAGCATTTTACATTCACTCTGCTATTGAGGTCAAGGGCCCACCAACATCATTTCTCTGCGTGCGAACCTTCCTGAGTAGATCCTAGGCCACGATCAACTTGTGATCGCAGCACTCATAACAAGAAGAGCACCATGGTTCACTCTGAAACGGATACCGTAGATTCTTGGCAAAGCACAAAACTATCTAGATTAATAAAGTTGACCAACAAAATGAGCAATCTGGGCCACAGGTTTTTACGGTAATATTTTTTCCATTCTTGCTCTGGGGTCGTGCAAAAGGATATCTCAGCCACATTTCATTCCAGCATGAACCATTACAGAATCAGTTACGGTACCTTTCTTCTTGGTGGTAACCCTACAGACTGCAGCTGCCCTAGCATGCTGACCTTCCCCACAGCGTATTGATCATCTCCTGACATTCCTCCTCCTTTTCTTCCTTCCCCAGGCCAGCTAACAATACCCAGGATTACTATATATTTCTCCAGCAGCCACTGCATGCACTACCTCTAACTGCGCTGCCAGAACGTGTCGGGGGTCGGGCGGGAGAAATTTGCAAACTGACCGCGAGCAGCTCCATCCGCAAACGCTGCTGTCTTCACAATCCCAAAGTACCCACTCGGATTCGCCAAGAGCAGATTCGCCACCTCGAAATAGCTCTTCCCATCCGCGTTACTGTACTGCGTGGCATTATACCAGACACCAGAAAACCCATACACATAACCGGTACGAGCAGCCGGGCGGAAAAACCCAAAGTATTTCGGAATGGGTGCGGCGTGCCTGCGACCGCGGGAGTCCCTGCGGGTGCCGTTCCAAGTCATGTTGACCCACGCTGCTTCGGTGGCGGAGAACTCGAGAAGGGCGGCGCCGCTGTCTGCCGAGCCGGCAGCGCCGGTGCTGATGGCGATGGAGAGGGGAGCTCCGGGGGCGGTGAGGCGGATGCTGGCTCCGTAGCGAATGTTGTAGTCGCTGCCACTCCTGCCAGCCAGGGGTGGGTGGTGCAGGTGATGGGTAAGATGCAGTAGGAGGGGATGAGCAGGTGGTTGTCAGTGAGCGGTGGCGCTTATTGGAAAGCAGCGTGGGAAGCGGGAAACTGAAGAGGAGGTGGAATGAGTGATTGGTTGGCAACGAGAGGCTGATTAGCAATGAGAGGCAGAGCTGCTTACTGGAAGACAGCGAGGGAGATGACGCCCGTGGCATTCACATCCCCAGCAGCGCTGGTGATCTCCGTGCCGTTCAGCCTCGCCTTCACCGCTCCTGGCGAGATGAGGAGCAGGCGGGATGAGGAGCAGGAGAGATGAGGAGCAGGAGGGACGAGGAGTAGGAGGAATGGGACATGGGAGGTGAGGGTTGGTTGCGACAGCTTTCATGAACAGGCATGCCCGTCTTTGTGCCGTTCAGCCGTGCAAGCTAACAATCCAAAACCAACAAGATAAAGAATGAAGCGTTCGAGTCTTACTCACCCACGCGGGTGCCCAGACCCCCAGCGCGATTGCGCCGACCGCCGCCAAACCCGCCGCCAAACCCGCCGCCTCCACCACCGCGTCCCCCTTCGAAGCCGCGTCCTCCGCCACCCCCGCGCCCACCGCCGCCGCCATGAGCGGCGCCTGTTGCGGTATTCGGGGACGAGGGGGAACATCGTTAGAGGCATCAGAAACATCATTATCGGATACTTCACTGCAGATTAGTGGAAGGCGTGAAAGAATGCATTGGTTCGCAAGCATGTTCTTGAAACGGTTATCGAGGCTGTGCTTACAGGCGACGACGAGGAGAGCTAGCAGCGACGCGGCGAGAAGGTGGCGAAGAGCCGTCGTCGTCGTCGTCATCGTTGATTGGGTAAAGAGCGTCAAATGAAGAGCAATGACTCGAGTAGAGGCGAAAACGAGGACGACTGTTCGACTATATGTTCAAGCTGATGTCGGGTCACCGTACGAGAGGAGACCGAGTAGAATGATGAGATATCCTGAGAGATTATTGGGTGCTTTTATAGACCTGCTCCCAGGACTGCTCCTCTGCACGATAGTACATCGCAGCCTTGAGCTACGCTAGGCCATAAACGGGCGAGAACTGGGGAAGCCTGCTCGCAGAGCGCAGGAAGCGGCAATCACGGCGGTGCGAGGAAGTCACACCGAAGCTTCCGTGAGGTACTACCGCGGTCGGACCCACTCGGGCCCGCGGCTGGTACTTTACTGTAGGTGGAGCTGCTTCCGAAGCAGATTTTCGCGTGGCGCGCTAACGGGCGGGAAACACGCGAGCGAGAGTTTGTACTCCGACGTCGTTCCGACACAGTTTATCTGATCATTCGAGGGCCTGGCAGGGGGAGAAAACTGACAGGCGAGGTGGGCCTGGGGGAAGGGACACCCGCCGCTGACAGGATGAGACGACCTTCTCCATGAGGCGAGACGTAGAGACAGCTGGCAGTGCTGACATGACAACGTGGCTGCGTCTCCGCGATAAACGCCGGAATATCATACTAGGACTCGGACCTACGAGAGAGGATCCTGACTGGGGGAGGATGGTCGGTGGATGAAGGGAAGGTAATTGTGGGGCGGTGATGGATGGCAAGTGTACATGCAGATTGATTCGTGCTTCATTTCTTCAGATAGGACAACCCTGCTAAACCTTTCTTCAGCGCTCCCAACCTCCCAGTACGTTCAAGAATTACTTACGTTTTGTTCAGCCCTGGGAGATCCGCGTGTCCCAGACTCCCAGTCTGCAAAATCTACTGGGAGAACAGGGTGTACTGGTGGCGAAAAATCTACTGCGCGATGCGAAGCACGAAAATCTTCCCGCTTCAAATTTCACGCTTCTGCGAATTTCGCCCCTCCATCCAGCTGGTGATGCTTTCTTCCCTTGTTTCACCCCGTGCGAAAAGTCGTCCGCCCAGCTGTGTGTTTGACCAGTCGTCGCATGGGTCGCATACCCATATCACTTTCTACACTCACAGCAATGGACTCGTTTATGTCGCCTCGCCAGCTTCCTCCTTGTTGCTCCATTAGAGAGTCCCCCTTCACAAGCCGGATAAATGGTATAGTCAAGACTATGAACTGAATGAGTTTTAGCAGACTCTGTCATGCATGCTCTCATCCTTCAAATTTCATTACATTTTACATTATATCATTGCAAAGCTGAGCAAATCATAAGACGGCATTCAAATCCGAGCAGGAACTATTACTCGACATGAATTCTCCACCACTTCACCCATCATTGTATCCTTTCCTGCATCCTGCCATCTGTGCTCATCTACTCTCCTCCTGTCTGAATCACCAGGCTTCATCACCACATCACTACAAGAACTTGTTGCAGGCACCAAGGTCATGTCGCAATCCATCAAATTCCTGCCTCCCATGGGGCCAGCACCAACAATTCCATCCAATCCCAGAGTGAAATCCACCCAACCTGGAGGCAGATACGGTGAAAACACCAAGACAAGCTTTCGCTCCACATTTCTTCCCCCAGCAACGCCACCTGCCTGCAGGTTAGAACCCTCCCAAGCCTGCTGTCCGAGCCTGGGTGTCTGGAACGATGAGTAGGACAGGAAGGTGGCAGGAGTTCGCCTGGAGAGAAGAAGGCGTGTGTTGATGCAGTGGGACCAGGCGAGGCCTAGGGCTGGTACGACACGCTGGCCTGATGACCAGAGGATCTGTGAGTTTTCTGAGTCGGAGAGGATGTCAGGGTGCGGACCAGAATACGCCACAGTCGCTGACGCTGATGGCTCTGATTTTGCTTCACCGTCTACTTCTTCTGTTGCTGCTGCTGGAGTGACACTGGGATGTGGGTTGTCGATGGAGGCTGTGACCTGGTTGGTCACCACCACGGCGATTTTGTACCGATCTGCAAGATGCTTGAGAGCAGATGCGATGCGGAAGAGCATGGTGGTGCGCTGACACATGTCGTCGCGTGAGTTGTCGAACTCCGAGCGGAACAGCGAGGCGATGGAGTCAATGATGAGAAGGCGGATGGGATGGGCTCTGGCACGGACGAGCTCCACATGCATCTCTCCTTCCAAACAGTGGGTCAGCTCCTGGACGGTTGGGATCTCCTTGATGAACACGTGGTCACATGGATGGCCACAATCACTTCCCGGGTTGATGTTGATCGCAGGTTTATAGTCACCGGTGCTGCTGATGGTATCACATGTCTGCACGCCGTTGCTGTTCACAGCACCAGGAGAATTTGATTTGAGCAGGTTTTGGAAACGGCTGCTGTTGGCAAGTTGGAAGAGTCGTTTGGTGGGGAACCGACCATCAGTGTATATGTACAGTGCTGCACCCCGTGACGTGTCGGCGTTGCCTCCTGACGTGTTAGGAGAACCAGAGGATGCGAGCAGCGGTTGCGCAGGAGCCTGAAAGGGTGTTGTTGACACAGGTGCTTGCACTGCCAGCGCCAGCTGCAAGCATAACTGGGTTTTGCCACTCGCCGCCTCTCCCACGAGCTCGGTCACCTGGCAGGCTCGCAGGCCGCCTCTGAGAAAATGGTCCAACACGGGACACCCGAGGGACACGTAGCTGGGAACGACCGAGTGTAGCGAAATTGGGAGAAACGGCAACCCATCAGTTACAGATGATTCGTTTATATGAAAATCGAGCTGATCATCCGAAGGAGAGCGTTCAAGGCGGAGGGGAGGTTGGCTTGGGCGTTTCTGTGGTTGACACGGTGATAGTGGGTTGAGATGGGTTTCCTGCTGTTGCGGAGACACGGCTTCTTGTTTGGGTTGCAGAGAAACGATGGTCGCAGGCGTCTTTTGAGAATGATTAGCGTAAACATAATGATGGTTTGAGATGGGTTGAGCGGAAAGCTTGAGCGGTGGAAGCGGTGGTGGCTGGTCCAGGTGTGGGGGTTGCTGTTGAGGTGATAAGGGTTCTTGTTTGGGTTGCAGAGGAACGAAATTCGCAGCGTCACAATGGTCATGTTGGTCAGAGAGAGGGTGAGGCTGAGCAGAGAGCTTGAGTGGTGTCAGTGATGAGCGTGGCTGGTCCAAATGTGCGTTTGGCTGGGGAGACGCGACGCTAGCTTGATTGCGTTGCGGGACGGCGATCGCAGAAGCGTCGTGGCAAGGAAGAGGGTGCGAGGAGACGTTGCACGGTCGAGAGGGCGATGGACGCGCGTGATGAAATGGCGGGTTCTGCTGCGAAGTCGTTCTGGCTGGATCAGGTTGGAGGGGGACGATTTTCTGCGACGGCGAATCGTCATCATGGCTCGGAATGTGAAGTCGGTAACGGGACATAACGCAGAGGTAGCGTTAACGGGCTAAGCAGAAATTTCCTTCGAACAAGTTGATCAGCAACAGTCCGCCTGCAAGGTCCATAGTCCTTTCTCCCCTTGCAAGTTTCTGAAGCGATTCAGCCGCGAGGAGGCGTTAGAGGCAGCCAGAGAGACATTCCCGCTTGCTCCACGGGTCGAATCGAGTCAACACAGTGCTGCCAACGCCTTGAGGTCTGTGCAAACAGGCAGTGAAAGGGCCAAGCATTCCCAGGGCTGGCGGAGCGGGGCCACGCTAGGCGGGGACAAATTCTCAAGGTTGAGGTCCCGCGAACCTTGGTTCGGAAAACAAGATCGGTAACCATGTTTATCAGACGTTACGCCAAGGTATATTGAAAGAATCTAAACCCAGGTTTGTTACAGCCAAAATTATTGATGTCTTTACAGCCAACAAAATCTCATTCTATCATAACACTTTCACAAAAACGGCTACAAAGAGCCGACCCTCACTACGATCTATGCTGCCATAAAACCACGAAACCCCTGGAGGAAAGCAGACACAGCGTTATCACCCACAGAGGAACACCCCTCCTCCAGCTGCTGAGTATCCACCTTGCAAGCTGCCTCGTTCTTGCTGCACCACTTGGACTGCCTCAGCTCCTCTGCTGCCTCCCTCCACTGGAATGAAGAGGCCTTCTCAATGGTGGGGTCGAACTGAGCTCCCAAACGACTCTTGCCTGTGGAAACAAGTACAAACCATGCAGACACCCATTCATACATACATGGGTGCAAGACAGAGAGATGTAGCATGACAGAATAAAAAGGCACACCAGACCGCTATTATGTGCTGGGTGAAGGCAATGGCAGAATGTAAATGATCCATCGCAATCTCACCATGAGTGAAGGCAACATCAGCAAAGACAGCCTGGACATTGCAGCAGAAGTTGTCAAGGGCCTTCACACTCTCCCCCGCACGCAGCAGGTAGCGCCGGGCATCAAACGCCAGAAGCGTGTTGACCTGCAGGTCGTTCAGGCACGCCTCGCCTCTGTACAGCTGCATCCAGGGAAGCGTAACCAGGGTAAAAATACAATACATAGGGGACAAAGGGAGCGTATCATAGATTTAGTGATGCGAATTGCCTGCGCATCAAACAGCATGCAAGTTTTTTTCAAGTTTGACTGATGCAGACACAGCTGCTGACCGCTGCTGACCTTGTCATAGTCTGCGAGAATGGTGGAGATCTCGCGCATGCGCTCATCAGACTTGTCATCGAGGTTGTAGCCGACGCCGATAGCGCGGTACCCAAGCTGGCTGTCGTACGCACAGCGGCTGCGCCCCTCACTGCGCTCCATCACTGTTGTTGTCGCCGGCACACACGTCAGACTGTTGGCAGGAAGCCACGACTCTCCCACCTGGGGAAAAACAAAGAAAGAACAGATGAGCAACCGTTGGCAGCACAGCACATGGTAGCGACAGAAGTGAAGCATGTATGCTGACTAACCTCTGCTCAAGAACAGAAGGTGGCAGCCAGACAGCCACACACGCCTCACCTTGCGGGCGCTGCTGACAGCAGCAGTGGGGCAGCCCTCCTCCATGGCCCTGGTATCAGCCCGGCACACCGCCTCGTGTTTGCGGCACCACTTGGAGCGCCTCAGCTCCTCCGCTGCCTCCTTGTACTGCGAGCTCAGCGCCCTCTCTATTGCCGGGCTGAACTGCGCTCCCAGCCGGGTCTTGGCTGAATTGAGTAAAAAATACAGGGTGAGGTGACAGCAAGTCATGAGCGCAGGGGAGAGAAAGAACACGGAAGGAGGCCAGCTAGGTGGCAGACAGGGCCTTGTTATGCACTTTGCAGGACTGGCAGGCCAGCATCAATGGAGGTCACACTGTGATTGAAGGCTCACTGAGAGTGTAGATTCACCATGAGTGAAGGCGATATCAGCGAAGATGGACTGCACGTTGCAGCAGAAGCTGTTGAAGTTCTCAATGCGCTCCTTGGCACGGATAAGGTAGCGCCGCGCATCAAACGCCAGCAGCGCATTGATCTGCACGTCGTTCAGACACTCCTCCCCGCGGTACAGCTGCGAAGGATACACAACATTACAGTAGGGAACGGTTTTCAAGACGTAGCGTCAAACGCCAGCAGCGCATTGATCTGCACGTCGTTCAGACACTCCTCCCCGCGGCACAGCTGACGGGGATAAAACACACAATACAGGAGGAAGTGAAACTAATGACAAAGCTGCTTAACGGTGAATACATGTGGACGTAACTCATGCAGCAGCGTAGCAGCACCAAGCGAAAAGCACAACAGCAGAGATGCCTACCTTGTCAAAGTCAGCAACAACGGTGGAGATCTCGCGCATGCGCTCGTCAGACTTGTCATCGAGGTTGTAGCCGACGCCGATAGCGCGGTACCCAAGTTGGCTGTCGTACGCACAGCGGCTGCGTCCCTCACTGCGCTCCATCACCATTGATGTTGCCGGCACACACGTCAGACTGTCCGCAGGCAGCCATGATGCGCGCGCCTGGCCACGAGCACGGGAGGGAACACGAACATGAAACCAGGTGCAATGCTTCAGATGCGTGGACAAACACGAAACTCGAAGTCAATCAGGTGTAGTCATTCTTACGAAAACAAGTTACGTAATACTATTCGCCTTCCGTGCGTCTCGAAATAGTATGGAAAAAGAAATAGGGACGCCTCATGAGCCATACGAGACGTGTAACGATCAACTAATGAGCGCGCGGTGGTGGTCGACTATTGAGAGAGCAGTCAAATAGCTAGACGTCGCGATGGCGTCGGATACGTCGTAGAGCGTTTTGCTCGGACTTACAAACGGAACGGCCAGAAGAAAGAGAGCAAGCAGACCCAAAGCGACCAATCCGGAAGAGCGAGCCATCAGGGAGGACTGGCGGAAAAGCAGGAGCGGAAGGACCGTAGCAGCTAGAGGGGAAAACAGGAAAAAAGACACGCGGGAATTGCGATGAAAGAGGAAGAGCGAGCATTAGTACGCACGCACCGCACTAGGAGCTGCTGGTGGCGAAGACGAACGCGGCTCGGGCGGAAAATCGGGTTGCGAACAACGCTCGAGAACACTCTTTCAGCCATCAGGCAGCTGCTCATCGGAATTGAACACACCACGCGTCAGCAAGCATGACGACGCTCCTCGCAGTTGATAATTATCATTTCTGACGCAGCAGCTGTTCCCTCGTTACCTCGTTAATAACTACAGGCAAGCAGCCTGACACTTAGGATGCATGCAGGCTGACACATGGGACGATACAAGAATGGCGCTCAAAAGAATCTAGGTAACAAATAGTAGAAGTCACAAGCAGATCCGGTTTTGTGACCGGACATATTTCAGACTCATAACTAAACAATATTTCGGTGTAGATCTAGAATGGTTGGGAGGGTGAAAGACTGGGCAGGTGTTGGTTTGTTCTGGTCAAAGTTGAATCAGCAAGCGAAGTGCTCGAGGCATTCTGCCCGAGCCTGACTACCTGACCTCGTCACCAGTGATTGGTTCGGTTTGCTTTTGGATGAGGCAAAGTGAGTGTTTGTCAGCACGACCTGGGTGTCTCCGAGGCCCAAACGAGTCTTCATAAGCATTACGCTTAGCGGCTTGCTTCCGTGCCAACTGTGCATTCACTTTCAAATTTGACACTTCAAACTAGCTCGGAGTCTGGTTCGGCCATACGTAAAATGAAGTCAGGGCCGCCGCGCCATGCAACCAGGGCAACATTTCTATCTTACCTCTAGGGCCCGAACCGAGTCCCTGACCTGACATCTAGGTACGAATATCAATCACACTTGTCTACCTGCTTCAGCTTTCTCGTAAGCTATACAAACTCTGGGAACGTCGTTGCTCCCTCGAGATCCCTCTTCAGTTTCACGATTCAATAGAGCGGTAGGACCTTGCCTATTCTAGTTTTCTTTACTAAGCAGCACGTTTACAGTCCCTCTACCGCGTGAAGTAAGGTCTGCCTAATAGCTGTTGAAACCCAGGCGAGCAATCTAAATCTGAGTCAGTCAGGAAGCCAGATTACTTCGCGAGCATCGTCTTTTTCTTATCGTGTAGTTTGTTCCACCATCGTCTTTTCTCATGTTGCTTTCGTAATCTACTTTACAGCAACAGCACGATGAATCGCGGCTTTAATCAACCGCATCAAAGGCCGCCTAGAGTTCAGCGGGATGGGAGAATTGACACGACGACGCCACTCCTTGGTTCCACTGGGAATGCTGCGAACAGCACAGGCAATAACGGAACCACCGACCCTAGCTCTTGGCCGGGAGGCCAGAGCAACTTTAATCTTTCATACCAAGGAACGTCAAACCTTAATACCCCGCTAGGACTTCGAGCAAGTTCCAGTAATTTCATAGCGAATACCATGCAAGCGGCTGGACCGACAGGCGTTAGTGGCTTGGTTCCGGGAAGTTACACTTTATCCCCGTTTCTGGGTGATAGGCCTCCCGGCAGCAGCTATCAAGCCACCTCAGATGCCTTGCCCTTGCAGCATGTCCAAGCGGAACCAATTAACCAGCCTCAAATCGCTTCGTTACCAACCATGGATTCCTTTGCATTTGCAGGCCCTCCAGCAATTCCGCTAGGACAGAATATTATCCAGACAGGCTTCGGTGGTTCTAGCATGAGTTTTAATGGACTCCAGGATCCAGGAGTGGAAGGTGTTAATCCCATGGACGGAGGTTCTGAGTTTAAACTCTATAGCGGGGATGACTCTCTGAATCAGTCTCAGCCCGGCAATAACATCTTCGAGGATGACGCTGTTTTCATGGTCAACATGTTTCTGGGAGGAGGAGGCGGTATGGATGGAGAGACTGGAGCGGGTGCTGAGGCTGCTGGTTTGGATGCTGGGATGTTTGGTTTGGCCGAGCCTCTCCTTCCAGGGTTTTCAGGGTTGGAACCAATGGAAGGGGTCGCGTTCAGGTTGGACGGGCAGGGGGTTATGGATCCAGGAACGAACCAGGTTCCTTCGTTTGACTCTCATGGTAGTGGCCAACTACAGTTTTCAGCATTTGATGAGAAACCGATACATTCTATAACGGGAGCCGGCGAGACATGGGAACAGAATGTAGGTTTAAGGGGTCACGTGGAACGGAGGGAAGGTGGAAGGGATACGATGGAGGAGACACGGCAGCATTATGGGCAGCAGGAGCGAGAGCAAGAAGAACGGGAGCAACAAAGGAAGCTGGAACAGGAGAGGGAGTTGGAGAAGCAGAGGGAGTTGGAGAAACAGAAGCAGCAGAGGAAGTTGGAGCAGCAGAGGGAGCTGGAGAAACAGAGGCAACTGGAGCTTGAGAAACAGGAGAAGCAGAGGAAGTTGGATGAGCAGAGGGAGCTTGAGAAACAGAGGCAGCGGGAGTTGGAGAAACAGCGGCTGGAGAAACAGGAGCAGCAGAGGGAGCTAGAGAGACAAAGGCTGAAGGATTTGGAGACACAGCGGCAATTGGAACTGGAGAAAAGGCAGCTGCAGAGGAAGCTGGAGCAGCAGAGGGAGCTGGAGCGGCAGAGGGTTTTGGTGGAAGAGAGGCAGAAGGAGTTGGAGAAACAGAGGCAGTTGAAGTTGGAGAAACAGGAGCAGCAAAGGAAGCTGGAGCAGCAGAGGGAGATGGAGCAGCAGAGGGTGTTGGAGGAACAGCGGCAGAGGGAGTTGGATAAACAGCGGCAGAGGGAGTTGGAGAAACAGCGGCAGAGGGAGTTGAAGGAACAAGAGCAGCAGAGGAAGCTGGAGCAGCAAAGGGTGTTGGAGGAACAGAGGCAAAGGGAGTTGGAGAAACAGCGGCAATTGGAGATTGAGAAACAGGAGCAGCAGAGGAAACTGGAGCAGCAGCGAGTGTTGGAGGAACAGAGGCGAAGGGAGTTGGAAAAACAGGAGCAGGAGAGGAAGCTGGAGCAGCAGAGGGAGCTGGAGAAGCGGAGGCAGAGGGAGTTAGAGAAACAACGGCAAATGGAGCTGGAGAAACAGGAACAGATGAGAAAGCTGGAGCAGCAGAGGGAGCTAGAGAAACAGAGGCAGAGGGAGTTGGAGAGACAGCAGCAGCTGGAGCTGGAGAAACAGGAGCAAGAGAGGAAGCTGGAGCAGCAAATGCAGTTGGAGAAACAGAGGCTGCGGGAGTTGGAGCAGCAGAGGGAGCTAGAGAAACAAAGACAGAGGGAGTTGGAGAGACAGCAGCAATTGGAGCTGGAGATACAGGAGCAGGAGAGGAAGCTGGAGCAGCAAAATCAGTTGGAGGAACAGAGGCAGAGGGAGATGGAGCAGCAGAGAGAGCTAGAGAAACAAAGGCAGAAGGAGTTGGAGAAACAGCAGCATTTGGAACTGGAAAAACAGGAACAGCAGCGAAAGAAGGAGCAACAGATGGAGCTTGAGAAACAGGAGGAGCAGAGGGATTCAGAAAATCAAAGTAAAGAGGTGCTTGAGGTGAGAGCGGAAGAGGGGTTTGATAAAGCGGTGAGAGAAGAGAAAGCTACTGACATGGGAAGGGAGGAGTATGGTGGGGATGAGGAGGAGTGCCCTGACGAGAGCAGTGAGCATGGGGAGGGTAAGGCGAAGATGAAGCTTCTGACTGCTCTTGACAAGGAACAACCGGTGCCACTGTCTCGGCAGGAAGAAACAGAGGAAGCAAACGCGAAGGGAGCTGGGAAGGGGTTTACGGATGAGGAGAAGAAGGTTGGGGTTAAGTCTGGTACACTGCAGCGTCCAGAGGAGGAGGAACAGGTGGAAGAGGAGGAGGAAGAGGAGGAGGAAGAGGAGGAAGAAGAGGAGGATGATATTGAGGACTGGGTGTGTGGCACGGAAAATAGGTATCGGAGATTGAGTGCAGATGAGAAGAAGTGGAAGCAGCAGCAGGGTAGGGGTGGCGAGAGTGGGGCAAGGAGGGGCAAGAGAGAGGCGGTGCGGGGCGAGGAAGGAGAAGGGAGGAGGAAGAAGACTAAGATAAGGAAGCTGGCGGACTGGTTGCCAACGCAGATAGTGATGGGTGGGGAGCAGGAGGGGGGAAAGGTAGATGAGGGTGGTAGTGACGCGCGTCAGCCTAGCAGCGTGGAAGTGGGAGAGCAGTCTGCTGGTGAGGTGCGTGGAGCACACCAGGGTGAAGCCGCCCTGAGGGACGAAGGACACGAGATGCACAAACAGGCAGAAGAGGTAGCAGAGAATGCTGCTGGGGCGTTGGAGTCAGTTGCTGAGGAGCACAAGGAGAGGCAGGTGGGAGGGTTTTCAGATTCTGCTTTTGCGGCTCCTCTGAAGGAGCAGGGGGACGCGGTAGAGGAGTGTGCTGCTGCTGAGAAGCACGAGGAATCACTTGTTGAGGAGCATAAGGAGGGGCGGATGGGAACAGTAGAGGCGGATGCGATCCAAACTTGTAAGGTGAGGGAAGAAGCAGAGGTGACGGTGGAAGATAAACAAGGAGAAGAGGAGAAGGGACGAGGAGAGAAGGAGGTGGAGGGGAAGGCGGAGTTGGATGCGTCTGGGGAAGAGAAGAACGCTATTTCTCTAATGCTGCAGCAGGAGGAGGGGCAGCAGGAGCAGGAAGAGCAGGAGGAGCAGGAGGAGCAGGAGGAGCAGGAAGAACAGCAACAGCAGCAACAGCGGGAGGAGGAGAAGGAGGAGAAACTGCAGCAGAAGCAAGAACAGGAACGGGAGCAGGAGGAACAGCAACAGCAGCCAGAAATGGCGAAGCAGCAGCCACAGTACGAGCAGGAGAAGGAGCAGCAGCAGCAGCAACAGCAGCAGGGACAGGGTCAAGAGGAGCAGCAGCAGCAGCAGCAGCAGCAGGAGGAGGAGCACCAGGAGAGCGAGAAATGTGGGGAGGCAAAGGAGCGAGAGCAGGTGAGGCAAGACAAAGAGCAGGAGCAGAGGACACAAAAAGTCGGGGAGGAAGGGGAGATGGAAATTCATGGCACACCTGCTGCTGGTGCTGCTGCTGCTGGTGGTGGTGGTGCTGCTGCTGCTGCTGCTGCTGCTGCTGCTGGTGCTGCTGGTGCTGCGGAGGCAGACGGTGCTTCTGCAGCACAGTCTGCGGCAGCAGTGGACAAGAAGCGGAAGCACAGTGAAGCGTTTGTGGAGGCCGATGAAGAAGCTGCTGCTGTTGACAAGTCCTGTGTTGCTCCCGAACTGTCTGCTGCTGTTTATCCATCTGCTGCCCCTGAACCCTCTGCTGCCCCTGAACCATCTACTGCCCCTGAACCCTCTGCTGCCCCGGAGCCATCTGCTTCCCCTGAGGCATCTACTGTGCTTGAGATGTCATGTGGTGCTGGTGATCCATCTGTTGTTCGTGAGGCATCTTCTCCTTTCGAACCCTCTGCTGCCCCTGAGCCATCTGCTCCTGAGCCATGTGCTGAGGACGAGGGCACTGAGGGAAGGGAGAAGGAGAGTGAAAGGGAGGTTGGAGGGATGGTAGGGAACGACAAGGAGAGGACGAGAGTGGGAGGCAGTGAAGTGAAGGCGAGGGAAGAGGAAAGGAGAGAGGAGAGAAGAGAGGAGGAGAGGGAGGAGGGAAAGGAAGAAGAGGGGAGAGAAGAGAATGGGAGGGCAGAGGAAGGAAGAGAATTGGAGGCGAGAACTGAGGAAGGGAGCCAAGAGGAGGGGAGGGATGAGGAAGGGAGAGAAGAGGAGGGAGGTGAAGAGGAGGGGAGAGACGAGGGAAATGACGAGGAAGTGGGAGAAGAGGAGGAGAGAAGAAATGAGGAGGTAAGAGAAGTGGAGTGGAGAGAGGAGGGAAGGGAACTGGTGCCGGGGGCGAGAGTGTACAGGAGAAAGGCTAAAGGGGAGATGGGCAGGCTAGCCGGACGTGCCAGGAGGAGCAGAGAGGCAGAGACAACGGGAGAGTGGGAGAGGAGGGAGAGGAGGGTGGAGATGGTGGGAAAGAGAGACCGTGAGGGGAGGGAGAATGGACAGGAGATGAAAGAATCTGCAGCAGCAGCAGAAGCGCAAGCTCCCCCAGTAGTGGTGAGCACAGTCAAGCCGCCCTCAGCACAGCCTTCACCAGTACTACCTCCCCCTCTGGACGGACCTGCCGGTTTGTCTCTTGTCCTGGCCCTGTCTGCTCTGGATGTGGTTCTGGGGAAGGGGCGGGCGGGGGGGGCGAGAGAACAGGGGGAGAAAGCCGGGAGGGGCATTCAGGTGGGGGATACTGGGCGGAGCGGGAGGAGTAGGAGGGGTGGGAGGAGTGGGAAGAAGGAGAAGGGGAAGAGGCATGAGCGGGGTGGGGTGAAGGATCAGGGGGCAAGAAGTGAACGGGCGGCACGGAGTAGGCGTGGAGGGAAGAGGACGACGAGGGCGCAGGAGGAGGAGGAGGAGGAAGAGGAGGAAGAGGAGGAGGAAGAGGAGGAGGAGGAGGAGGAGGGGGATGAGGAGGAAGGGAATGAGGAGAAGGAGAGGGCTGGAGACGGGGAGGGGGGTGAAGTAGAGAGAGGGGCTGAATCTGAGGAGGGGGGTGAGGTAGAGAAGGGGGTTGCATCAGAGGAGGGGGTTGAAGTAAAGAAGGAAGGGAGTGAGGAAGAGGAGGAGGGGGGTGAGGCAGAAGAGGGGGCAGAAGAGGCAGAGGATGAGGCAAAGGAGGAGGCAAAGGAGGAGGCTGGTAGTGACTTGGGCGGAAAGGGTGGGATGGCCGGTGCTGGATTGTCTGCTCATGACAGGACAGACGATGAAACGGGTGTTGGGGCTGAAACGGGTGTTGGGGTTGAAACGGGTGTTGGGGTTGAAACGGGTGTTGGGGTTGAAACGGGTGTTGGGGTTGAAACGGGTGTTGGGGTTGAAACGGGTGTTGGGGTTGAATCGAGTACTGGGCTGGAGACACAGGCAGGAGAGAAAGGCAGCGTTGGTGAGGTGCGAGGGAAGGAGGAAGGGGATATTGAGGCAGTTGTGGTTAGGGATGGGAGTGAGGGGTGGGTTGAGGGGGCTGATGAGGGGGAGGGTTTAAAGGATGCAGCAGCGGTGGAAGAGGTGCAAGAGGAGGAGGTGAAAGAGGAGGAGGCGAAAGAGGAGGGGGTGGAGGAGAAGGAGGAGAAAAAGGAGGTGCTAGTGGAGGTGAAAGAGGAAGTGGAAAAGGAGGTGGAGAAGAAACAGGTGCTAGAGGAGGAGGTTCTAGAGGAGGTGAAAGAGGAGCAAGAAGAGGTGCAAGAGTGGGAGCATGGAAAGAAGAAAAGGCACAGGGGGAGAGGTGTGGAGAAGGAGAGAGGAGAGAAGAATGAGGAAAAGAAAGAGGAAGTGGGAGATAAAAGGGAAGAAGGGGACGGTGAGGAGGAAGGGAAACAGGAAGACGACGCTGAAAAGAAAGCGGAAGGGGAGGCGAAAGAAGAAGGGGAAGGCAAAGAAAAAGAGGAAGAGAAAGAGGAAGTGAAAGGGGAAGAGGATGAGGAAGCGTCGAGGAGGGAAGCTGCCTTTGAGGAGACTCGAGTGAACGAGGGAGATAAGGCAGGAGTAGGCGATGGGAGAGATGTTAGAGAGGGCTTGATTGGAGAGGGACTGGGTAGTGCGAAGGTGGATAGGGAGGGGGATGGGACAGTGGGCGGAAATGTGGGTGGACAAAGGACAGAGGAAGAGGCAGGTTCGGAAGGGACTGATGAGGAAGCGGATGTTGTGGAAGTGCAGGCAGAGGGAGTGGGAGGCGGGATGGAAGAGGAGGTTGGGGTGCAAGACGCAAGAAGAGAGGCAGTGGATGTGGCAGGACTGGGAGAGGAAGGAACGGCGCAAGGGGCGGGTGAGGAAGCGGATGTTGTGGAAGTGCAGGCAGAGGGAGTGGGATCTGAGATGAGGGAGGAGGTTGGGGTGCAAGATACAAGCAGAGAGGCAGTGGAATTGGGTGAGGAAGAATTGGCACAAGGGGCAGGTGAGGAAGCTGATGTAGTGGAAGTAAAGACAGAGGGAGCAGATTCTCGGGTGCAGGACTGTGGGTTGTGTGAGTCGACAAGGGAGGCGGAAGAGCCATTGATAAAGCCATCAGCAGAGCCAGGTGAAGGAGAAGCAGTGGAAGGGGCAGGTGAAGGGGAAGCAGCGGAAGAGGCAGGCGACGAAGCTGATGTGGTGGAGGTACACTTGAACGAGATGGAGGTGCAGGGAGGAGAGGTGGAATTAACAGAAGTGGCGATGGTGGAGCAAGGGGCGGAATCAGGAGAGGGAGAGGTGCAGGAAGTGGGGATGGGGACTGGCTTTCTAGAGGCAACTAGAGGAGCAGCTGAGTCCGGTGAAGAGGTTGAAGAAGGAGGGACAGCTGGAGATGCAGATGTCGTGGAGGTGCGAGATGAGAATGAGAAGGAAGTGGGGATGGAATCACAAGAAGCAGACGTGCAGGAAGTGGAAGCAGAGGCAGCAGGGACAGCAGAAGGAGCAGGAGGAGAAGGAGGAGAAGGAGGAGAGGCAACAGCAGGGACAGCAGAAGGCGCAGCAGGAGGAGGCGATGGGGGTGTTGCAGTAGCAGAGAGAGCGGGGAAGAGGAGGAGAGTGCGGCCGTTGATGAGGCGAGTACAGTCTGTCACAGACGCTGCTGATACAGCAGTGCAGGCAGGGCCTAAGGGTGTGGCTGCTGCTGCTGCTAGGGATACGCACATGGCCCCACTGGCTGTGGGTGCTGCTGAATCTCAATCTGATGGGGATGATGGTACTTTGGATCGTGGTGCTCGTGATTTGTCCAGTGATGGTGGGCACGTGGCAAGAGATTCTTCTCCCCCTCGTCATGGTCATAAAGCGCATGCTTCGACCGATGATATGGATGGTGATGGTGGTGATGGTGGTGATGGTGGTGCTGGTGGTGCTGGTGGTGCTGGTGAGGATGGGCGTGATGCTTCAACGGCTGCTGCATCCTGCCATGCTCCAGCTGGATCCGATTCAACGGATGCACATGGTGTTGGTAGTGATGGTGTTGATGGTGGTGGTGGTGGTGGTGGTAGTGAAGCAGCTACTGAGACTGATACCCCAGTGGCTCTGTCGCCGTCCCCATCCCTCTCCCCCCCTCCTTCCCCAACGCCATCAACATCACCGGTAGAATCGCTCTCAGAATCAAAATCCGCGTCTGCATCAGCATCAGCATCACCATCAGTATCAGCGTCTCGGTCCCAATCACCACCCCACATTCGCCCAGCCAGAGCGCGGAAACCAAATGCTTCAGCAAGAGTTTCTGAGTCGAGTCAAGCAACACCCTCACGGTCCCCATCACCACCTCACATTCGCCCAGCCAGAGCACGGAAATTGAAGGCAGCAGCAAAAGCAGAAGCAGAAGCAGGGGGAGCTGCAGGAGCTGTGTCAGCAGCAGTAGTGAGGAAAGCAGCAGCGGAGCGCACAGGACCACTTGAACCCACCGAAACACCAATCTCTGTATCAGTCTCAGAACCAAAACCGGAACCAGGCACGCCCATGCATCTCTCCCCGAGGCTAAAGCCGCTGCTATTCTGCCTGGGGAGCTTCGAAGCAGGCGACATAGTGTGGGCCAAGTCAGGGCGCAAGAAAGACCCCTGGTGGCCGGCCCGTGTGGTAGACCCGATTTACGATGCCCCTGCTGCTGTCAGGAGCGCCGCTGAAGCCGACCGGCTGTGTGTCATGTTCTTTGGGCCATCGCTTAGCAAAAAACGCGACCGGGACTACTCGTGGGTGCCCGAGGGGAGCATTGTGCCGTTTCTGGATTTTCTAGTTAAGTATGAGAGCCAGCCGCTGACTGCGAGGAATCGGCCGAAGGAGTTTCGGAAGGCTGTGGAGGAGGCTGTGTTGGAGAGTGAAGGGATGGTGGGGTGTGATGAGATGGAGGGAGGTGGGGGAGAGGAAGAGGGAGGGGAAGGAGAAGAGGGAGGCAGAGGTATGATGGGGGATGATGAGGAGGATTGGCAGGAGGGGAATAAGCTTGGTGCGAGTGCTGCTGCTGATGGTGCTGCTGCTGGGGGTGGTGCTGCTGCTGCAGATGCTGGTGCTGCTCCTAGCTTCCGAAAAGGAGGCAGCCGGCCAGGTGGGTTGGTGGGTGCAGCGAAGGGAGGGGCAGCAGCAGCGGAACTAGCAGGTGGAGCGAGAGAGGGCATGATGTGTGTGGGATGCCGGATCATGCCTGGTGTGATTGGCCGCCCCACTCGCACACTGGATGATCTCTTTTCGCCAGGAGGGGGTGGGGGTGGGAAAGGGAGAAAAAAAGGGGAGGGCAGCGGAGGTGACTCTTCTGGGGAGAGTGACTGGGATGAGGGGGTGGGGAAGAAGCGGAGGAGGGGGAGGGGCGTCAGTTCTGGCAGTAGCAGGAAAAGACTGGTGGTGGGGAGTGGGCAGGGTGGGGAGGGCTGTGAGGAGGAGTCTCAGGGGGAAGAAAAGGGTAAGAGGGGCGGCGGGAGGGGGAGAGGGAGGGGCAGGGGGAGGGGGAGGCCAGAGAAGGGGAGGAATGGCGGGTGGGTGTGGGGGATGAGTAAGAAGCGGAGCAGGAGCATGGGAGTGGGCCGACAGGGCAAAGCAGGTCAGGGTGGCAAGAGAGGTGGTAGGAGTGACAGTGCCGCCGCTGACAGTGGTGGGGAGAGTGCTGATGACAGTGCTGCTGCTGGCACTGGCGCTGGTGCTGGTGCTGGTGCTACCTGTGGGAGTGCCCGTGCCACTGGTTCCCGCGTAGCTGGTGCTTCTGCTGCTCGTGCTTCTGCAGCAGGCGCTACGCTAGAAGAAAGCGCAGCAGGCAGCAGCTACGCGCACAGGCTAGTAGACGAATTACTAGACTCAGTCCCGCTCTGCATACAGTGCCGCAAGCTTTTCCAGTCGCACCAGTTCTGCCCACTCTGCCTCCTCGTCTGGTTACCCAACGAGAAGGGCGATTTCGCCCACTGCGACCGCTGCCAGCTGTGGGTGCACGCGGAGTGTGACGGGATCTCTAGGCAGCGGTTGAGTGCGATTAAGAACGATGCGGTGTATTTGTGCCCGAATTGCCGGCAGACTAAGGCGGTGGAGGAGCGGGAGAAGAGGGAGAGGAGGGAGAGGAGGGGGAGGGAGAAGGAGGAGAGGGAGCAGAGGGAGGAGAGGGAGAGGAAGGAGCAGGAGGAGAGGGAGAAGAGGGCTAAGGAGGCGGCGCAGGCTGCTGCTCAGGCCGCTGCTTCTGCCGCTGCTGCTCGGTTGAAGGAGGAGGGGAGAGATGGAGAGAGGGAGACAGCGGGACGGTCTGGGATGGAGGTGATAACGGGGATGGGGAGGGGGTTCAGCCTGGGTGGTGCGCGCTTGCGGATCGACGAGGTGAAACGGGAGGGGTTGCTTGTTTGTCGCCTCGACAGGGATAGGAGTGGGGATCGGGATCAGGATGGGGATGAGGATGAGGATGAGGAGGATGAGGATAGGGATGAGGGTGAGGGTGGGGGTGGGGATGGGTCAGATGATGGTGGTGGGCAGGGGCGGAAAGGAGGAGGTGGTAGAGGTAGAGTGAAGGAAGAATGGGATGAAGAGACAGTGGAGAAGAAGGGAGACGCGGATGGGAATGGATTCTTGGCCACTAAGGAGGCACCTCACAGAGCTGATTTCCCACCGTCTAATTCACCTGAGGATTCACCTGAGGATTCACCTGAAGATTCACCTGGTACTCCATCCTCCTCACCTGAGGCAGAAGCGGAAGGGGACAACAAGATAGCAGCGGCGCCACCCATCCCCATCCCTGTAGCCCACCCGCCAGTGCCCGTCACATGCGCGTCCTACAAGGGCGTCTACCTCCCTTCGCGTCACCTCGTGCAGTGCTGCTGCCGCTCCTGCCGACCCAAGGCCAAGGGGGGCAGCAGCAAGAGCAGCGCCGCTAGCACTGCTGCTGCGGCGGCGGCTGGTGCGGGGGAGGTTGAGAGTGGGGGAGCGGGGGGAGCAGGGGGAGTGTTGATGGCGCTGAGTGAGTTTGAGAAGCATGCGCAGTGCCGCTCCAAGAAGTGGAAATCGTCTGTGCTGCTGCAGGGCGCTGAGAAGAAGACGACTCTCTTTGCGTGGGTAAGTGTTTTCTCGGAGTCTATTGGGGATTCTTAGAAGCATGCGCAGTGCCGCTCCAAGAAGTGGAAATCGTCTGTGCTGCTGCAGGGCGCTGAGAAGAAGACAACTCTCTTCGCCTGGGTAAGTGATTTCTATGAGCTTTCAGAACTTCTGCATACTTGAGTGGGGCCTTGCTTTCGATTCGACCAGGCACTTCCTACTCACTCCCTCCCTCATTTCGCTCATTTACCGCCACGTCTCCCCTCCGTCTTTACCCTCCCTTTCTTTTTCTTTCACCCGCAGCTCGAGGCGTCCTACAAGGCAGGAGTCAGAGGCCTCGCCTATTCCTAGGCATTCCCTTCTCAACCCCTCGCAGCTCCAGGTGTCTCACGAGGCGGGGGTGAGAGGCCTCTTGTTCTACGAGGACCCTCCCCCTCTCCTTGCTTCATTTCCCCTCACCCCTTTCCCCCTCCTCCCCCCCCCATCCCACCACATCACACCACCTCCCCTCCCTCGCAGCTCCAGGCGTCCCACGAGGCGGGCGTGAGAGGCCTCTTGTTCTACGAGGACCCTCCGCCTCGCAGCCGCCCGGGCAACCGGCAGCAGGGGATCATATCCACACTGCGCAGTGCGGGCGGGGGCAGCGCGGTCGCAGGAGGGATCGGAGGAGTAGGAATGGGTTCAATGAGAGGCAGAGCTGGTGCAAAGGGGTCCATGGATCCCAGGGGAGGAGTGACATGGCTGGAAAAGGCTTTAAGTGAGCCGTACGAGGGGGTGGAGTACAAGTGGACCTCTGAACGGTGTGCGGTGTGCAACAGCGATGAGGATTCCGATGCTAGCCGCATGCTGGTGTGTGTCAAGTGTGAGATGGGCGTGCATGAGGAGTGCTACGGGATCGAGGCCCCGCCTGGGTCGCCAGGTAAAGCAGCTGGTGTTGGTGCCGACGCTGACGCTGACGCTGACGCTGGTGGTGCTGCTGCAGGGAAACCCTCGGTTTCCTCCTCTGCTGCGTTTGGCATGTCTTGGCTCTGCCGCTGCTGCGACCGCGCGGCGAACCCCACCACTGATTCGAGCAGAACCAGCAACCGCATTGCCTCTGGTGCAAAGACAGAGGCTGACACAGACGCACACACAGCAGAAGGTGGCAAAGGCAAACGCAAGGGCAAGGGCAAGGGGAAAGGCTCTGATACCATGGCGCTAGTGGCTTCAGGTAGCACAGGGGTGGGAGGAGGAGCCGTTGCAGGGCTGGGCAGAGGAAGAGGCGGGGGCGCAGGAGCAACCAGAGCAGGGGAGGAAGAGCAGGGGACGGAGGAGGAGGAGGCGGAGATTCGGAGGGAGTGCTGTCTATGTCCTGTGCGGGGCGGGGCTTTAAAGCCCACGACCATCAGGCTCGCCCTTCCTGGGAACAGCAGAAGCAAGGGGGAGGTGCCCTGGAGAAAAACAGCAGCAGCTGGCGGTACCGCCGCCGCTGCAGCTGCTGCCGCCGCCGCTGCGGCTGCTGCTGCTGCAGCAGCAGTGGTTGGGGGCAGGGGTGGTCGAGGAGTGGCGTTTGGGGGAGTGGGGTTGGGAGGAGGAGCGGGTGCGGGAGGGGGAGGGGGTGGGGAGGGGTTGATTTCACGGCAGCGGTGGGCGCATCTGGTGTGTGGGCTGTGGATGCCGGGTGTGAGTGTGCTGGGCGAGGGCGAGGGAGAGGTGCTGGACGGCATTCAGCTCGTGGATCCAGAGCGGTTCAAACTGGTGAGAAACGATAACAGCTGGTGAGAGGTGGTGGTGTCCGTTTCTGCAGTCAGTGTGTGTGTTGGTGTCATTTTCCGCTAAGCTCACTCACACGTTGCCTGTCCTGTCCTGCTGCTCCCATTTTTTTGCAGGTCGTTTTTGCGGATTCTGAAATACGACCTTCTGAGAATTCTCAAATACGACCTTTCGAGTATTCTAAATAACTACCCACTGCACCCGTTCTTGTCATTCTCCGTTAATCTCATGCGTTGCCTGTCCTACTGCTCCCTGTGCCTATCTCCAGGCTTGCTGCATCTGCCGCCAGCCGTACGGCGCGTGCATTCAGTGCGATGAAGGCGGGGTGGATCATGGACCATGGATTCAGCAATGCCTGGTACTCTGCACACACCCCTTCCCGCCCCCCCTTTCCGCCGCACCCCTGCCCCTCCTCAGGCGTGTTGCATCTGCCGCCAGCCCTACGGGGCATGCATTCAGTGAGACGGGCCGCGCTGCCTGGTGGCGTACCATGTGGTGTGTGCGATGAAGGCGGGGTGGATCATGGATTTAAAAGTGACTGGTACTGTGCACATACCCCTCCCTTCCCCACCATCCCCCCCCCTCACTCACACCCATCCCTCCCATCCCCCCCAGGCGTGCTGCATCTGCCGCCAGCCATACGGCGCGTGCATTCAGTGCGACGGGCCGCGGTGCCTGGTGGCATACCACGTGGTGTGTGCGATGAAGGCGGGGTGGATCATGGATGTGGTTCCTGATGACACGGGCCAGCTGCTGCGCTGCACCTTCTGCCCCAAACACAGGTACGTATGGCACTTTTTATCTTCTCGTGATGCCAGTGCGCCTGCCATAGGGGTGGGCACTCTCAAGAGTGACTCTCTCAGTCTCCGTCCCCTCCCTTGCACCCCCTCACGCCCGTTCCCGTCCCCCTCCCCTCCCCCCCACCTCCCAAACTCCGCTCTATTCACAGGGATCCGAATCCTGACCTTGCTGTGATTGGCCCTGCTGCCCTTGCAGCCGGCAAGAGGCTGATTGAGCGAGGGGGGAGGCTGAGGAAACGCACTGGCATCACTGGGTTTCCTGCCATAGGCGCGGGCACTCTCAAGAGTGACTCCCTCAAACCGGATGGGGAGAAGGACAGAGAGGGCAAAGAGGGCAGGGAGGGGAGGGAGGGGAGGGAGGGGAAAGAGGGGCGAGGGGAGGGGAAGAGAGGGGGTTTGGAGAAGTGGAAAGGGAGGGGGAGAGAGGGTGAGTTGGAGGGAGAGGAATGGGGCGAGGAGGAGAGGGGTGAGAAGGTCAAGCGGCGGAAGGTGGGCGGAAGGACGAAGGGAAGGGGGGATGGTGGTAAAGATGGCGGTGAGAATGGTGCTGATTCGAATGCGAGTAGTGATGTGATATTAATGGGTGAGGAGGAGGGAGAGAGAGACGAGGAGGAGGTGAGAGCTGCGGATGGTAGTGGTGAGGAGAGAACGGGGTTGGAGGGTGCAGAAGAAATGGGCGGGGGGCAGGATAGTGCAGAGGCAAGTGGGGGGGAGGTTGGAGAAGGGACGAGAAGGGGGCAGGGTGGTGGAGAGGCGAGAAGGGAGGAGCTTGGGAGAACCCTGGGCGAGCTTCAAAGAGGGAGGAAGAGAGGTCTAGGGGAGGGTGATGATGGGAACGATGGTGCTGCTGCTGATGATGATGGTGGTGGCGCTGTCGAAGTAAAGGAGGAGCAGGAGAAGGAGGGGGGGCAGGAGGGGGAGCAGGAGGGGGAGCAGGAGGGGGAGCAGGAGGGGGAGGAGGAAGAAAAGGACGAGGGGTCCAAGAGCGATGTGCTGCTGCTTCCCAGTCCCGAATCATCGGAAGGTGATACTCATGCAGGGGCGAGGGGGGCTAGGCCTGCAGGGGAGCGGGCGGGGACAGCAGCAGCAGGAGGGGGAGGAAGAGGAGGAGGTGAAATGGAGGGTGTGGTGTCGCGCTGTCAGCCATACCAAGGGCGAAACAGCCGGATGCGGTGGCGGGGAGGAGACAGCAGGGCGGAGGGAAGGGCGGAAGGGAAGGCAGATGGAAGGATGGAGAGCGCAGGACTGGGGGAACCAGGGGGTACGGCGGAGGGCAGAGTGGAGGAGAGGAGGGAGGAGGGAATGGAGAGGAGGGGGGAGGAGGGGGAGGTGGGAGCGAGTGAGCGAGTGCGGAGGGTGTGGGGGCGCGGGCACAAGGAGGTGGTGCCGTATCTCCTTGGGGGGGTGTGCTGGCACGACAGGGAAACCCTCATGGACCTGCGGGTGAGTGCGGTGCTGAAGGGTGCTTTGTGGTTACTGTGGTGTTGAGAGCAACTGTGGTGGTACGGGCTGCCGTTGTGGTAAGAGCAAGCTGGATAAACTCGCACAGCTCTGCATCTCTTTGGTTATTTTTTCGCCATCTAACATTTTCCATTGATTTTTCGCCAACTTCCATTGATTTTTCGCCAACTAACATTTTCCATTGATTTTTCGCCAACTAACCTTTTCCATTGATTTTTCGCCAACTAAACCTTTTCCATTTATTTTTCGCCAACTAACCTTTTCCATTGATTTTTCACCAACTAACCTTTTCCATTGATTTTTCGCCAACTAAACCTTTTCCATTGATTTTTCGCCAACTAACCTTTTCCATTGATTTTTCGCCAACTAACCTTTTCCATTGATTTTTCGCCAACTAACCTTTTCCATTGATTTTTCGCCAACTAACCTTCTCCATTGATTTTTCGCCAAACTAACCTTTTCCATTGATTTTTCGCCAACTAACCTTTTCCATTGATTTTTCGCCAACTAACCTTTTCCATTGATTTTTCGCCAAACTAACCTTTTCCATTGATTTTTCGCCAAACTAACCTTTTCCATTGATTTTTCGCCAACTAACCTTTTCCATTGATTTTTCGCCAACTAACCTTTTCCATTGATTTTTGTCTTGTGCTCCTCACGCGTGCGTGCGCGTCACCCCTCACCTCAGACGCCAGAGGAACCACCTGTGGTCACGTCTCGAGCTGAGCGGATGAAAGTCGTGCGGGTGAGATATATATGGGCAGTTCGAAGGGGCATGGGGTAAAGGGCAAGGTTCGAGTGGGAAGGGGCAAGCAGCGAGGGGCAGGGGGCGAGGGGCAAGGCAGCGATTCTCCCCTTGCCTCACCTTGCCTTCTCTTGCCTTGTCTGAATGAATTTGCGTCTGAGCTTCTCTTCTTTCCTCTGCTCTTCCCTGCTCTGTGATCGAGTTTTGAAATTTCTCAGAGGCCTTCCCCCTTGCCTCCCGTTGCCTTGTCTTGTCTCGTCTGAATGAATATTCATCTGTGCTACTCTTCTCTTCTTTGCTCTGCTCTTCCTTGTCTGTCCCCCCTTGCAGGCGACGGCATGGCAGAGAGTCACGTTTGGGCGGTCGGCTATCCACGACTGGGGGTTGGTGGCGAGGCGAGACATAGAGGAGGGCGAGATGGTGCGTGCCAATGTGTAGGGTGGGGGTTTGGATGGGTGTGTGTGAGAGAGTGAGTGTGTGTGTGCATGTGTGCTTCTGGCGTATCATGACTGTACTGTCTGCCGCCATCCACGACTGGGGGTTGGTGGCGAGGCGAGACATAGAGGAGGGCGAGATGGTGAGTTGTTGGCGGCTGTGTGAGGTTGGGTGTGCGTGCGGGTGTGAGGGTGTGTGCTTCTGGCGTATCATGACTGTACTGTCTGCCGCCGTCCACGACTGGGGGTTGGTGGTGAGGCGAGACATAGAGGAGGGCGAGATGGTGAGTTGTTGGCGGCTGTGTGGGAGGGTGTGAGTGAGTGTGGGAGGGGGGATGCGTGTGAGTGGGTGTCTGTCTCTGTGTGTAGGGGGGTGTGTGCGTGTGCAGGGGTGGCCGTGGGTGTGTGTGTGGGTGGGTAAGTGTGTGAGTGGGTGGGTGTGTGAGTGTGGGTGAGAGTGTGTGTGAGTGTGGGTGAGTGTGTGAGTATGGTTGGGTGTGTGAGTGTGGACAATAATTCAAACATCTGCATACCCTTACAAGCTGGAAGGAGGCTGGCTATCACAGGAATCGCAAGAGTATCTCTCACTGTTTCCATTGTGACTGTATCAGGTGGTGGACTATCGAGGGGAGGCGCTGAGGCGGAGTGTGGCAGAGCTAAGGGAGAAGCGATACCGCGACAGAGGAGAGCTGTGCTATGTGAGTATAACAAGGGAGGAGCTGTGCTATGTGAGTTTAACAAGGGAGGAGCTGTGCTATGTGAGTATAACGAAGGGTGAGCTACGAGGTGCATATGAGGCGGGGTGCATGCAAGGCAATCCGCCTCTGCAAGTGCTCTCTGCATATTGCTGCTGTGATGTGTCAACCTTGGTTCCATCCATCATATGAGTCTCATGCACGCTCTTTACTCCCATGTGATGTGATTTATGCTGTAACCCCTGCCCCCTGCTCCATGGCATGTGTCCTCAGCTGTTCAAGCAAGAAATCCCTAGACTTGTCACAACTCCCATGTGATGTGCTGTGATGTGTGTCCCCTGTCCCCCATGCCCATGCTGCTCTGTGTGTGATGCTGATCTGGTCAAGGTGGAGAACGAGAGAGTGCTGGTCAGTTTTCAGACTCTGATCTGTTGTGTACCCCATGCCATGCTGCCGTGTGTTGTGTACCCCATGCCATGCTGCCGTGTGTTGTCCCCTGCAGCTGTTCAAGGTGGACGAGGAACGAGTGGTTGATGCCACCATGGCCAGCAACTACGCCAGAATGATGAACCACTCCGTACGTACCATGCTGAACCACTCTGTACCATACTGAACCACTCACTCCGTATGTGCCATGCCATGTACTATGTCGCACCGCACAGCACAATGGGTTTGAATACACTGTCGCTCGCTCATGCTGTTTCTCAGGTGCCCGTGCTATTTGTTTCCCATCCTTTGTCGTAAACCCCTCTTCTCCCTCCGCATCCCTCATCCCCTTCATCAGTGCAACCCCAACTGCTTTGCCAAGATCTTTGACGTAGAGGACAAGAAAGGCCACCCGATTGCGATCAAAACCCACCCATCCCCTTTGTGCGCCCCCCGTTCCTCTCCCCTCGCCTCCTTCAGTGCAACCCCAACTGCTTTGCCAAGATCTTTGACGTAGAGGACAAGAATGGCCACTCGAGCGCGATCATCGTCATCATTGCTCGCCGCCCAATTCGCATGGGAGAGGAGCTAACGTGAGTGTGCTGATACCGCGGTCTAAGTGGCCTGTGCTTTCACATTCCACCTTTTTTTAGTGGACTCAAACATTTTGAGTGGCTCGAAATTCGCATTAGGGGAGGAGCTAACGTGAGTGTGCTGGTGCTATGCCATGGTCTGACTGTCCTGTGCTTCCACGGTCCACCACCCATGCCTCACATGCTGATGTGCCCCACACTCACACATGCATACATACTCTCGCACATGCACATGCACATACACATGCACATACACATGCACATGCACATACACATGCACATGCACATGCACACCTCACCCACCCCTGCCAAACCCCTCTGTCCGCCCTTGCAGCTACAGCTACCACTTTGACCGGGAGGAGAAGGACCGAGTGCCGTGCCGCTGCTGTGCCGCCCAGGTGACTTGTAAGTGGACTCAAAAACACCTTTCCCTTCCGCCCTTTTCCTTCCTCCCCTCCCCCATGCAGGTACAACTACCGGTTTGACCGGGAGGAGAAGGACCGAGTGCCGTGCCGCTGCTGTGCCGCCCAGGTGACTTGTAAGTGGACTCAAAAGACACTTTTCCCTTCCGCCCTTCCCCCTCCCCTCCCCACATGCAGGTACGACTATCGGTTTGACCGGGAGGAGAAGGACCGAGTGCCGTGCCGCTGTGGTGCCGCCACCTGTCGCTCCTTCATGAACTGACTCTGCTCCGGACTAACATGCCTAGCTCACACTCACACACATACAGCATCCTGTGCTGTCTTGCGTCGGCGGATGCTCGTTGGCTGATGCGATACAGCTCGTACCAGATGGCTGACACTAACAGGTGGATGCTTAACGTGCACTGTCTGACAGAAGCTAACACAGCAGCTACATCTTAAGCCTTAACACTAACAGGACGGGTGATGCAATAACTGACTCAAGACTGACACAAACATGACACAATTTTGACTTTGCTCGTATATGGTAGATACAATTTAACAGATTTGTACAGAATATACGGTACTGGTGATTTGGTACGACCCATATGACCTATTTCACTCTGATTAGCGCTAGAATCTATGTACATTGCCATGTGTCCATCCATCATTGCTCCATCCCAAAATTCGTGTAAAGATTGCGGCATGCTTCTTGCGCATTTGTTCTGGTGGATTTCAGGGTTCAAGGAGTTATTATGCTGCAAACTTGCCTGGTGTGTCAAGGTTTGCTTTAGGAATCCTGGTTCGTAGAGGAAAACTCTGTAGAGGGAAGTATTCGCCAGCTTCACGATGAACCTGGCGACGTCAGCGATTCTACTCCTCCAATCATCACCTCTCCTCATTGTTCCCCATAGCCAACTCCTCCTCTGGACGAAGAGTCTGGCGGGAACTCGTCCGTGCCATCCCCAAACCCTGGTGGTCAGCCCTCCGCTCACCCCCTCCACCCTCGGCAGGCCCTGGGGAGTGGTTCGTCCCTACAGTTGACTCCGAGACCTCCCCCACTTTGGCTCTCCAGGTCACGGCCTTCTCCCCTCCGTCGTCACTCTCAGCCTCTCTTGACTGTGCCCTGCCCAACCGGTTCATCGTCCGGCCGTCGATCAAAGATGGCACCTTCCACATAGGTGCCCTCTCTGCGGTACACGTTGTCGGGTCCTGGCTTGCAGGCCCCTTCCATACAGGTGCAGGGCTCAGCGCGCGGCTCGACATCCTTCGGGACGGCTGCCCCAGCGTAGCTGACATCCGTCGCCGGCTCTATACTCAGCTTCCCTTCGACCACGCCGCCCGCTGGATCCACGTCCTCCCCGCTCCATCTCCCCGCCTCCCCGACCTCTCCCACGACTTTTTACGGGAGCAACCCAGCCTCCAGCGCGACGTCTTGTACCGGTTCTACACTCGCGCTCTTCCTTCGGGTTCGCGCTTCAACTTCGCCGCAGACCGCGGGATTTGTTCACTCTGCCTTGCCGCACCCACAGAGACTATCCCCCACATTTTCTACGAATGTGGGGTGGCTCCCGCAGTGATTTCCGCCCTCTCCTCCGTCGCTCGTCGCCATCTCCACTGCTCACCTCCTCCTGAGCTCCTGCTCTTCCCGCTCGCCTCCAGAGCTGGCCAGGTGGCCCCCTGGAGCCTTCTGGTTGGGGCATCTACCAAAGCTATTTGGAACGCACGCTGTGAACACAAGTTCCAAGATTCGCCCTCCTCACGGTTTGAGATCCTCCAGATCATACGGGCAAAGTTCCTCATCGATTTCAAAATCTTCTTATGGCGCAGGAAGAAACAATCAGTGAAGAAACAAATACGCTCAGCCGCTCGTATTAAGCTGGCCACCCGACTTCGCTTCCTCGTCTTCGACCACAACGGAACTGTCAGATTACAATTGTATCTCTAGGCTACAGTAGGGTCACTCCTTAGTGAGTACAACACATTAGGGTTAGGTTTCCCCTACTTGTACTCACCTCTTGCCTAGTTCAATCATTCATTCCTAGTTCTATTCTTGACATGGTATCAGAGTAGGAACCGTTCCTACATGGGTCCACCGTTCCGCCTAGTGGTAGCGCCACGCCCTACACAGTAGCCAGCGCGCTGGCGCCCCTAGCTCTCACTGTCGCGACCCTTGCAGCCCGTGCGCTGCCCCTGCGACCGCGCTGCCCCTGCAGCCGTGCTCGCCCCTACGACCGTGCTGCCCCTGCAGCCGTGCTCGCCCCTGCTACCGTGCTGCCCTTGCAGCCGCGCCTGCCCCTGTGGCCCGCGCGCTGCCCCTGCAGCCCGTACGTCGCTCCTGCAGCCCATACGTCGCCCCTGCAGCCCGTTCACGCTGCCCCTGCAGCCCGTTCACGCTGCCCCTGCAGCCCGTTCACGCTGCCCCTGCAGCCCGTTCACGCTGCCCCTGCAGCCCGTTCACGCTGCCCCTGCAGCCCGTTCAAGCTGCCCCTGCAGCCCGTTCACGCTGCCCCTGCAGCCCGTTCACGCTGCCCCTGCAGCCCGCGCGCAGACCTACCGATCCGCGCGGCCCCTGCAGCCCGCGCGTCGCCCCTGGAGCCCGCGCGCCGCCTCTGCGGCCCGTTCGCGCCGCCCCTACAGCTCGTGCGCGGACCTGCCGAGCCGCGCGTCGCCTCTGCAGCCCGTCCGCGCGGCCCCTGCAGCCCGCGTGCCGCCCCTGGAGCCCGCGCGCCGCCTCTGCGGCCCGTTCGCGCCGCCCCTACAGCTCGCGCACGGACCTGCCGAGCCGCGCGGCCTCTGCAGCCCGTACGAGCTGCCCTTGCAGCCAGCGCCCTGCCCTGCGCCCGCGCCCTGCCCTGCGCCAGCACCCTGCCCTGCGCCAGCGCCCTGCTATACCCTAAATATAATTAAATTGTTAAAAAAAAAAAGGGGGCCCTAGGTGCTTCTGCCCTAGGAGCTACTGCCTACTACTGCACTGCTGTGGCCGCGCGCCGCCCTGCTCTGGCCGCGCGCCGCCCTGCTGCTGTTACTACTGCTACTCGTGCTACTGGGAGTGGTGGAGGTGCTACTGGGAGTGCAGGAGGTGCTGCTGGCGCTGTAGGAGCTGGAGGTGCTGGACCTTCTCCTGACCGTCACTGTCTGTCATGGCCACTTCCGCGGCAGTTGTTGCGGCCAGGGGTGGACAGCAGCGGGCACTGCTTCTCCCGGACGACCCCACCCCTCGGCAGCTTCGTGAGTGGGTTATTCAGCGAGGTCGTCTTGGTGGTGGAGGTTATCGTTCTGTTAGGATTGCTGCTCTAGGTGCTATTGAGTCTGCTGCCGCTCCAGGTGCTAGTGAGTCTGATGCAGCTCTAGGTGCCAGTGCGTCTACCGACACTCTAGGTGCTAGTGCGTCTACTACCACAGGTCCTGCCTCAGACGAGGTCTTGCACACTTTCACGCTTGACTCAGGCGCGTCACGTTGCTTCTTTCGTGATTGCACCATAGTCACACCACTCACAGCACCTGTGCCAGTCTCACTGGCTGACCCCTCTGGGGGCCCAGTGGTTGCTAGAGCCTCCACGGTCCTCCCTTGTCCAGCAGTCCCCTCCGGCTCTTTGTCAGGTCTCCACCTCCCCATGTTCTCGACGAACTTGGTGAGCAACGCTGCCATTCAGGATGTCTGGGTTGATACCTTTATTCCTGGAGGGCAGCGTGTGGCGATCTGTACGTGCTCCCGGACAGGCCGTCACCTGGCTACGTTCACTCGACAGCCTGGGTCTAGTCTGTACACACTGACCACTGCGTCTGCACAGGTGGCTGAGTCAGGTCAGGTAGTTGCGTCGAGTCGAGCGTCTGCGTCAGGGCAGTTAGTTGCGTCTTGCTCGTGCAGAGTACTCACGCACGAGACTCAGCGCTGGCACCACCGTCTTGGTCACCCCTCCCTGCAGCGTCTGCGTGGCATGCACTCCCGGCTCCTGGTCTCTGGCCTCCCTGAGACCCTGCCCCCCCTCCCGCGCTCACTTGCGCCGCCGTGCCTTCCTTGCGTCGAGGGGCGGCAGCGCGCCGCTCCTCACTCCTCCGAGTTTCCTCCGACCACTGCTCCTCTGCAGACTCTCCACCTGGACGTGTGGGGCCCGGCCCCCGTCGGTGGGACGGACCAGGAGCGCTACTTCCTGCTGGTTGTTGACGACTACACACGCTACACCACAGTCTTCCCCTTGCGTCGCAAGGCGGACGTCAGCGGTGTTTTGATCCCCTGGATCTGTGCTACTCGTCTCCAGCTACACGAGCGCTTTCAGCAGGACTTCCCAGTCCTGCGTCTGCACTCTGACAGGGGTGGTGAGTTCTCTTCTGGCGTCCTTGAGACGTTCTGTCAGGATGAGGGCATCGCCCAGTCGTTCACGCTTCCGGCCTCTCCGCAGCAAAATGGGATCGTTGAGCGTCGCATTGGCCTGATCATGGAGGTTGCTCGTACCTCCATAATCCATGCGGCTGCTCCCCATTTCCTGTGGCCGTTTGCGGTCCGATACGCCGCGCATCAGCTCAACCTCTGGCCCCGTGTCTCTGCTCCAGAGACCTGGCCCACACTCCGTCGGACGGGGCAGCCTGGTGATGCATCGTCGTTTCGGGTCTGGGGCGCGCTCTCCCTTGTTTGCGATACCAAAGCAAGCAAGCTCTCTCCTCGCACTCTCCGCTGTGTCTTCCTGGGCTTCCCCATCGACGCTCCACCCTGGCAGTTCTACCACCCTGCCTCGCGTCGTGTTCTTTCCTCTCAGGAAGTCACCTTCGACGAGTCGGTCTGTTACTACCGACTTCACCCGCACGCGTCCCACCCGGTCCCCTTGCACCCCTCTTCCTGGTACCAGTCCCCCCCCTGGTAGACCCCCTCCCCCCACAGGGTCCTGCTCCCTCAGGTGTGTCCCAGGTAGACCCACCCCCCTTGGATGAGCCAATTGATATCTCTTCTAACTCCTCTGACTCACCTGAGGGGGGTGACGCCGTAGCCAACGACACGGCGACCACTCGCCGCACTCCTCGCTTGGCGACCCCCCTGGGTTTCCTGCCACGGCCGTCTTCGCCGCCTCCGCAGCCTGCTGCTGTGGACTCTGGAGCTGAGACTACTGGAGCTGGGACTGGGGGTGGTGAGTCTGGGGGTGCCCGCTCTCCTCGTCTGGCTAACCCCCCCGGGTTCCCACCTCTGCCGTCTTCGCCGCCTCTGCAGCCTACTGCTGTAGATACTGGAGCTGAGACTGAGGGTACTAAGCTTGAGGGTGCTGGGACAGAGGGTGATGAGACTGAGGGTGCTGAGACTGAGGGTGCTGGGACTGAGGGTACTGAGCCTAAGGGTGCTGACTCTGGGGGTGCTGAGACTTCGGGTGCTGACTCTGGGGGTGCTGCGAGTCCTTCTGGAGGTCTTGGAGCTGGAGGTACTGGAGCTACTAGGCCTGGAGGTCCTACTGGAGGTACTAGAGGTACTACTGGTGCTGGAGGAACTGGAGCTGCTGCTGGTGCTGGAGGTACTGGAGCTGCTGCTGGTGCTGGAGGTGCTGGAGCTGGAGGTACTAGAGGTGCTTCTGGTGCTGGAGGTGCTAGAGCTACCACTACTGGAGGTACTGGAGCTGGACAGCCACCGCAGCCTGCTCTACTCGAGACGCTCTCGCCGCAGGCGATTTGTGCATGGGTCGTTCTGCGAGGCAGTCCTGGTGGTGGAGGGTACGGTCCTGCTGGTGCTGGAGCTACTAGTCCAGGAGGTGTTGCTGGTGCTGGAGGTGCTGGAGGTGCTGGAGGTACTACTAGATGTACTAGAGGTGCTGCTGGTGCAGGAGGTACTGGAGCTGCTGGTGCTGGGGGTACTGGAGCTGCTGCTGGTGCTTGAGGTACTGGAGCTGCTAGTACTCGAGGTGCTGCCGGTGCTGGAGGTACTGGAGCTGGAGGTACTGGAGCTGCTGGTGCTGGAGGTACTAGTGTTAGTGGAGGTGCTGGAGCTACTGCCACTGGAGGTGCTGGTGCTACTGGTGCTGGAGCTGCGGGAGTTGCTGACCCTGGAGGTGCTGGTGCTGCTGGTGCTAGAGGCGTTGGCGCTGGAGGTCCTAGAGGTGCTGGAGCTACTGGTCCCGGAGGTGCTCGTACTGGAGGTGCTGGAGCTGCCGGAGCAGGTGGTAGTGCTGGTGCTGGAGGTGCAGGAGGTGCTACTGGAGCTGCTGGCACAGGAGGTACTGGAGGTACTATTGGTGCTGGAGGCGCTGGAGCTGGAGCTGGAGGCACTGGAGGTGCTGGAGGTACTACTGGTGCTCGAGGTGCTGGCGCTGTCGGAGCTCGTGGTGCTGGAGGTGCTGGTGCTGCTGGTGTTGGAGGTGTTGCTGGGGGTATTGGAGGAGCTGCTCGTGCTGGAGGTACGGGAGCTACTGGTGCTCTTCGCCACCTTCTCAGTCTTCCGCCAGGTGCTACTGACTTTCCTGTGGCAGGTACTACTCCTCAGTTACTGTTTCCACCGGCGGACCAGTCACAGCCGCCGCTGCTACCGCACTCCCCACTGCCTGCTCCTGCTCCTTACACTGCAGTGTCAGAGTCCCTGACTGAGCGTCGAGAGCCTGAGACTCGTGCGTCCACCCCTGAGCGTCGAGAGCCTGAGTCTAGCTTTGACCTTGAGCCTGAGCCTAGAGCTGCTGTCCGTGCTCGTGTTCCTCGTGTTCGTCGTCCGCGTGCTCCGGCTGTCCCCGGCACTCACGATATGACACTCCGTCCTTCCTCTGTTCCACAGCGTGTTGTCCTACCGTTACCTCCTGCGTCCTCTCTTCTTGACGCTGCTGACCCTCCGTCTGACCTTGCTCGTGCGTCCAGTCCGACTGTTACTCGCCTTCTTGCTACGATTGTGACGGACCCTACGTTCTCGTCTCCTGCTGCGTCTGCCCTCGTAGCTGAGCTCATTGACTTTGCTGCTGTGTACCGCGTAGACTACCTTGCGAGTCTTGTCTCTGACCCTGTCTCTGCCTGACCTCCATCCGTCGGGGGTGAGACTGCTCTTGGCTGTACTGCCCTTGGCTGTGACGTTCTTAAGGACAAACAAGAGGAGCTGGAGTGCCTTGCTGTCGCTTCACCCCATCACGCGACCATGCTGCTTGCCCCTGAGGGAGACCCGGATGCACTTGACATCCCCACCCCGTGCTCCTACAGGGAGGCGATTTCGGGTGAGTACTCCTCTCGATGGCAGACAGCCATGGACGCAGAGATGGCTTCCTAGAAGTCCACAGGCACCTACGTCGACGAGGTTCCTCCACCTGGGGCGAACATCGTCAGTGGCATGTGGATTTTCAGGGTGAAGCGGCCGCCGGGTTCTCCGCCTGGCTTCAAGGCACGTTACGTTGCTCGAGGCTTCAGTCAGCGTGAGGGGGTCGACATCTTTCAGACCTTCTCCCCCACCCCAAAGATGACCACTCTTCGGGTGTTGCTACACGTTGCAGCTCAGCGTGACTACGAGCTGCACTCCCTCGACTTCTCGACGGCTTTCTTGCAGGGTAGCCTTCACGAGGCCATCTGGTTGCGCCGTCCACAGGGTTTCATTGGGTCGTTTCTTGAGGGTAGCTAATGGAGCCTACGACGACCAGTGTACGGCCTGCGTCAGGCGCCCCGTGAGTGGTACGACACACTGAGGACGACACTTGCGGCTCTTGGGTTTGCTCCTTCGAATGCTGACCCGTTGCTGTTTCTACGCACCGACACTACTCTGCCGCCGTTCTACATCCTCGTGTACGTCGACGACTTGGTTTTTGCTACTGCTGACACTGAGGCACTGACCCTAGTGAAGGCGGAGCTGCAGGAGAGACACACCTGCACTGACCTGGGTGAGCTGCGGAGCTATCTTGGCTTGCAGATCACCCGGGACAGAGCACGGCGCAACATCACCCTTAATCTGTCACACATGGTGCAGCAGGTCCTTCAGCGCTTCCGCTTCACGTGGTCCTCGCCACAGCCCACTCCTCTGTCTACCGGCCACTCGCTCTCAGCTCCACCTTCGGACGAGTCCGTAGAGCCGAGTGGTCCGTACCCAGAGCTTGTGGGTTGCCTCATGTACCTGATGACGTGCACACGACCTGACCTCGCGTACCCTCTCAGCCTCCTGGCTCGCTACGTGGCACCTGGTAGACATCGAAAGGTGCACTTTGATGCTGCGAAGAGGGTACTGCGTTACTTGTGCAGCACATCGGGAATGGGGCTCGTGCTTGGAGGACGGGGTTCGGTGGTCCTCACAGGACACTCTGACGCTTCTTGGGCCGACGACCAGACGACTCAGCATTCGTCACAGGGTTACACCTTCAGTCTTGGCTCTGGTTCTGTCTCGTGGAGGTTCACTTGTTCTTCTTCTATGCTTGGTTCCAGCTGTGAGGCCGAGATCTACGCTGGGGCCATGGCCGCACAGGAGCTACGCTGGCTGACCTAACTGCTGACCGACTTGGGGGAGCGGCCTCGTTCTCCTCCAGTTCTGTACGTTGACAACAAGGCAATGCTTGCCTTGTGTCGCGAGCAGAGACTGGAGCACAGAACGAAGCACATTGCTCTTCGCTACTTCCTTGCGCGTGAGCTGCAGCAGCGTGGTCAGCTGCGCCTTGCTTACGTGGCCTCTCGGGCCAACACTGCTGATGTCTTCACCAAGGCCCTTGGGTCTGGTGATCATTACCGTTTCTACACTGCTCTTGGGCTTGTGCCCACTCTGCCTCACCTGTTAGTTGCTTGACTTGCTCTTGTTGTACACTGCTATATATCTTTATACCTGCGTGTTTTCTCTTGCTAGGTTGTGATCAGTGTACTGCCTTGCTATTATTTACCTCTGCATGTGAACTGGCCTTGTGGCCACTTGCTTGTGCTCAGAATGCGTGGTGACTTTGTGATCCACTCTGAGCTGTGTTCTCTTCTGCAGACTGGTCTTGTGACCGCTTGTTTTGTTTAATGTCCCCTACTTTGTCTATGGGGGTGTGTCAGATTACAATTGTATCTCTAAGCTAGAGTAGGGTCACTCCTTAGTGAGTACAACACTTTAGGGTTAGGTTTCCCCTACTTGTACTCACCTCTTGCCTAGTTCAATCATTCATTCCTATTTCTATTATTGACAAGAACCCCTTCTATCCACCCAGACCTCCGCTCTTCCTGGTTGCTTGGGGACCCCTTCCGCCCCCCCTAGCCCTTTCCCCCTTTTGAGCATAGAGAGCTCCCCAGCTGGGCTGGCGGTTATCCAATGGATAGAGAAATAACGTGTTTTCCTACGTACGCCTCTGGGCTGTTGGTTTTGTAGACCATATTTCTAGGTGCTCTATGTTTTTTGCTCTACAAGGTTATAACCTTATATAACAGGAAGGTGGGAAGGGAAAACGGAGAGGTGGGGAGGGGTAATGGGGAGCGGGGAGGGGAACGCGAATGGGGGAAGAGGAAACTGGGAGCGGGAATGGGAAACGGGGAGGCAGAAAGGGAATTGCGGGGCGGGAAGGGAAACCGGGGAGGCGATATGTTCGTGAAGGGACACGGGGAGGGGAAAAGGGGTGGCGGAGAGGGGATTTGGGGAGGCGGGAAGGGGATACGGGGTACGGGAAGGGGAAACGGGGAGGCGGAAAGGGTAAATGCGGGGCGGGAAGGACAACCGGGGAGGCGGGAAGGGGTAATCGGGACCCGGGGAGGGGAAAATGGGTGGCGGAAAGGGGAGTTGGGGAGGCGGGAAGGGGATACGGCGTGCGGGACGGGGAAACTCTGAGGGGATACGGGGTGCAGGGAACGTGAATTGAGACGGCGGGAAGGGGAAACGTCGTGGCAGGAATGGGCAATGCGGAGTAGGAAGGGGAAGCGGTTGAGGCGGGATGGAGAATTGGGGAGGCGAGAAGGGATAACGAGGAGGCGGATATGGGGGGGACATGCAGACGTTTCAGCAGTCGTTCCGTACCTCAACCTCGCCTCCCGGCGGCTAGAACGGACACGTGGTCGCGTTTTTGTGCGATCAGTCTGCGTTTGTGCTCGTGCGCGTTCGGCAGTTTGGGCCGCGTCGCCCGCGTTCACGGTGGCGTGAAGAGGAAACGTGTTTCCCGGAACGCGTCGGACAACGAGGCGAGGCTGTAGGAAGGGGTCTGGCGGCGCCGTTATGTTAGAGGGCGGAAATGACTTCGGTGCGGACATGTAATTACGCCCACGCGTCTAGGCTTGTGTTGGTGGAACTTGGTAAAATGAGCTCGCTGTTTAGTCACGACCTGCTTAGCATCGGGTTATGCTGCCTCTAGAGCGTAGTAGCGTAGATCTGAGAGTGGAGGGCATTTCGTATACTTTTGTCGACCCTAAACTTTTGAATCACCAGGGAGTGCTGGGTGCCGGGGCAATCTCCCTCCCTTGTTCAGCGAGGTTTTGTAGCTGTAATGTGGTTACCAATATTTCAGATTTCAAAACTTTTGAAACTCTCTCTTGCAAATGTATACAAAAGCTTTAACCTCCAGTCATCACCTCAATGGGAGCAGGGGCCTGAGGGGATAGGAAGGAATGCGATGCGATGCGATCCTGCGACGACTGGTCAAACCCGCATTTCCATCGCCGTCACAGCTGCGTGCGCGGGGAGGCAATCTGGCTTGACGGAGGCAGTGAAAGACGCGAGCGGGCGCATAAAGGTTTCGCGCGAGAGGGGGGGAGACGGGGGGGACGTGCGAGGAAGAGCTGGATGCGGCGGGTGAAGTTCGTCGGGATGCGGGGAAGTTCGAGGGGGTGATTTCTGGGCTTCGCATCGCATCGTATTGCGTCGTAACTCTTCGCCACCAGTTCGTCCTACCCTGCTCCATCGGGCACTTTCTGGAGGACGTTCTTGCGACAATATGAAAGGTCATCGTCTGGGGGGGGGAGAGGCGCAGCAGTCAGGTTTTGCAGCAGGGTCGTCGCACTTTCGCAAAGAAGAAAGGTCGCATGCTCGCGAGTCGCGGAGGCCTATTCTTCGCAAAGTCGTATTTTGCCAATTTACCTGCCACCCACCGACCATCCCAAGTTCTTCTCCTCTTGGTTGAATGGTCTCTCGCTGGTGATTACGCAAACCGCGTGCGGGTAGGCAAGTTTGTTTTCGCGCGTGTTGTCACTCTCGTCCGTTTCGTTCCCGACCCTGGTGCGCCGCGGAGATTCGTTCCCTATCTGTTCTTCCTACCTCTCTTCGATGGCTCGTCTGACACCTCTCACGGAAGCTGCGGCGTGCCTTCCTCACACCGCCGTAGGTGCCGCTGACCAGTCCTCGCGTAGCTGTCCGTTAGTGGCCTCTTGCGGTCTACCCGCCCATGACGAGTCGCTTCGTCGTATGCGACACACTAGTAACACCGACAGGAGCAGTACCCTACTGCTACTAGGACCACTCAATAGTAGTAGGTCTATAAAACCATCATTGAAGCCACAGTTTTCTCATCACTTCTTCTCAAGCCTCATCAACGTCTGACTCAACCTGAGTCTAACAATCGTCCTTATTCCTGACTAAGATCGAGTTATAGAACTTTCAGCACCGCTCCTTTGCATCTAATCCGTCCAAAAATGACGACTCCTACGACGGCTCTTCGCCACGTTCTCTCCGCGTCGCTGCTGGCGTTCCTCGTCATCGCCTGTAAGCTCCGCCTCGATTATCCGTTATGATTTGGCGTTTGAGTCACGTCACTAATGCATGCACGCGAAGCACGGCATTCGTTCAAGCCTTCCGCTAAACCCGCAATGCAGCATCCGAAATTGGTTCTTTCTGATGCCCCTAACGCTGTTCCCCTCGTCCCCGAATGCCGCAACAGGCGCCGCTCACGGCGGCGGCGGAGGCGGCGGCGGTGGCCGCGGGGGTGGCGGAGGACGCGGCTTCGAAGGCGGACGCGGTGGTGGAGGCGGCGGGTTCGGCGGCGGGTTTGGCGGCGGATTTGGCGGCGGTCGGCACAATGGCACTGGGGGCTTGGGCACTCGCGTGGGTGAGTCCGACTTAATTGCTTTCTTTACTGCCTCATTGGTTTCGTCGCTAGCGTGCACGGCTGAACGACACAAAGGCGAGCATCAATGGTCATCAGAGCTGATGTATTCTCTTCTCTTGGTCACGAACCCTCGCCTCCCTTTACTATAAGCCGTCTATCTCTCCTGCTCTCATCCCCCTGTTCCACATCCCTCCTGCTCTTATTCGGCCAGGAGCGGTGGTGGCGTGGCTGAACGGCACAGAGATCACCACCGCTGCCTTCATAATAAAACCCCTTGTTCCATATCTCCCCTGCTCCTCATCTCCCCTGCTCCTCATCTCCCCTGCTCCTCATCTCCCCTGCCCCTCATCTCCCCTGCCCCTCATCTCGCCAGGGGCGGTGGTGGCGAGGCTGAACGGCACGGAGGTGACCAGCGCTGCTGGCGATGTCAATGCCACGGGCGTCATCTCCCTCGCTGTCTTCCAGTGAGCCCCCCCTCTAGCCCTCACTGCCAAATCACTTTCTCATTCCAACATCTCATTCCTCCTCTCCACTCTTCCGCTTCCCTCGCTGTCTTCCAGTGAGCCCCGCCTCCAGCCCCACCTCTCATTCGACCGACTGTTCGATCTTCCACTTCCCTCGCTGTCTTCCAGTGAGCCCCACCTCTCACTGCCCTGCTTTCCCAGCCTCATTCCCTCCTGCTGTGTATCACCCCTCGCCTGCACCACCCACCCCTGGCTGGCAGGAGTGGCAGCGACTACAACATTCGCTACGGAGCCAGCATCCGCCTGACCGCCCCCGGAGCTCCCCTCTCCATCGCCATCAGCACCGGCGCTGCCGGCTCGGCAGACAGCGGCGCCGCCCTTCTCGAGTTCTCCGCCAGCGAAGCAGCGTGGGCCAACATGACTTGGAACGGCACCCGCAGGGACTCCCGCGGCCGCAGGCACGCCGCCCCCATTCCGAAATACTTTGGGTTTTTCCGCCCGGCTGCTCGTACCGGTTATGTGTATGGTTTTTCTGGTGTTTGGTATAATGCGACTCAGTACAGTAACGCGGACGGGCAGAGCTATTTCGAGGTTGCGAATCTGCTCTTGGCGAATCCGAGTGGGTACTTTGGGATTGTGAAGACTGCCGTGTTTGCTGATGGAGCTGGCCGCGGTCAGTTTGCGAATTTCACCCGCCCGACCCCCGACACGTTCTGGCAGCGGAGCTAGAAGAGTGGTGACCGTTGGAAGGAGTTTTGGTCTCCCTGGCTCTTGTTTACCGAATATGGCCTGGATAAGGGAAGTGCAGGAGTGGTAGCAGGTGATGATGATGAGCCTAGAAAAGCCAGTTGACATGCCAAGGCAGCTGCAATCTGTAGGGTTATCATTGGGAAGTTAGGTTTTTATGGCATTTTATAGTGATACAGCGTGGAATGAAGTGTGCCTGATTGGAAATCAGAGGCACCGTAACAGGAAATCCTTTTGCACAGCGTGATAGTGGAATGAAGTGTGATGGCAATGACTGCTCTCCAGCGCACACGGGCCTTTCATTCTCCCGCCTTGCTGTGTTTGTGGGCAGGGCACAGAGAGTGGCCACTGGCCAGTTGTGAAGCGCTTCGACAGCATGATCTCATCCCAATTCAACGCAATCTAGACCATTTGAAGGTTCACTCACACCACCACTCCATCTCGTGCTCACTGCTCAGCTCAATGCTCAATGCTCCGCCTGCCATACTATCTGATTTTTGAGAATTCTCAAAAACCACCACTTCATCTCGTGCTCAGTGCTCACTGCTCAGCTCAATGCTCAATGCTCCGCCTGCCATACTGGAGGCACTGCCCGCTTGCATCCCATCCCAAGCACCCTGGTGTTCGTTTAAAGCCTGCAAACATACAACTCGGTAAAGAGATGAAACCCCCTGGTTGAAGAATGGTTTTCTATCAACCCCAACAATATTGATAAGGCAAACAAAGAGGAATAAAGTGCATGCCTACACCAGTAAACATCGTATTGTCAAGCAAACCTGATGTGGAACAGCCCAATGTTTCAGGTCTTCATAACTAACTTTGTACGTGCATCGCATCACCTTCACTCTTCGTCCGCAACAGCTACAGTGGTTTGTGCCCCCTCATTTCCAGGAAAGCGCGCTCTGAGAGCAGATATGTGTGCCTGGGGAAGAGGTCCCCTAGCTAGCAGCAAGTGAGTCGTGTCATTCACCCTCCCCACCCTCCACCCACCACTCCCTCCATCACCACCACCACCACTGCTGCTGCTGCTGCTTGCGCCACGTGGCATTCGGCTATTGGCTCCCGGGGAGTAGGTCAAAAGAGTGAGGGAGGAAACTGCAATGTCGAATCTGTGAGTGAAATGGGGACTGGACCCTATCAGGCCCCTCAAGAGGCATTTGATTGCCGTGGAGTGGGAGAAGATGCCGATTCGATACGGTAGGATGGGAGGAGCGTTGGACGGCATGGAGCGACATTTAGCTAAAAGTGCAGCAGAGCGGGAAACTGCGAGTTGGTTGAAAAACTCAACCATTCGGAATTCAACCTGGGAGGGAAAGGGGTTGGACGGGAGGGAGGGGGGTGCGGGGTGGCGGGATGCCATTACCAAGGGTAATGGAAAAATATGCATTTACAGATAGTTCATGGATTAAAAAAAAACATTGAAATGACAAGGTGAAGTCACTGAGTGAGTGAGCCACTGAACTTCGCCTCAAGGTCGGACAACACAAACAAAGCTTCAGGCACCGCAAACAAAGCTTCAGGCACCGCAAACAAAGCTTCAGGCACCACAGACAAAGCTTCAGGCACCACAGACAAAGCTTCAGGCACCACAGACAAAGCTTCAGGCACCACAACACAACCCATGCTGTGAAAACCAGGAACTCACCTGCCGCTGTGACTCCCCTCCTGGGCAGAAAAAATCCGGCTGGGCGCTTGTGATTCGTGGAAGAGAGGCGTCAGTGGGGAACACATCTGCCCGATTCTTCCCCTCCCACTGCCCGCAACTCTGCTCCTTCAACTCCTCTGCCTCCTGCATTCGGCTGGGTGGAAAGCCAAGCTCCTGAGAGGGGCGCACGGGATGCAGGCGACGCATGGAAAGTGCACTGGAATCTGGAGGTGCTATTGAGGTTGGCTTCAAATTGCCACTTCTTCCCCTCCCACTGCCCCCAGCTCTGCTCCTTCAACTCCTCTGCCTCCTGCATTCGGCTGGGTGGGAAGCCAAGCTCCTGTAAGGGGTGCAGGGGATGCAGAGGGGGGATTGGAAGAGCAATGGCGTTTGGATTGGAAGTGATATTAAGCTGGCTACTGAGCTGGCTTCCCAACGCCTTCCCCTAGAATCTTCAGCAGGTGGTAACCTGTGCTACACACCTGGTAACCCTACGCTACACACCTGGCACGTGGCATAAGCAGTCTCCCATGCCCTGGGGATGGGCGAGGCAAACACCTCGTCAAACATCACTCCCTGGAACTCCAGCAGGTATCGCCCCAACGCCTCCCCCTGCTCCCTGCCCTTGCTGGTCAGCGGTATTGCGGGTGACTGCCCTCCTATTAGGTGCGGCAGGTCTAGCGACTCTGCATGGCTGGGGAGAGGAGGGGGGGGTGGGGGGGGTGTGCAAGGGAGGGGACAAAAGCATGAAGCAGGTCTCGCCCCAACGCCTCCCCCTGCTCCCGGCCCTTGCTGGTGAGTGGTATTGCGGGTGACTGCCCCCCCACCAGATGGGGAAGGTCGCGCGACTCTGCATGGCTGGGGGTGTGCAAGGGAGGGGGTGGATGGATGGGATGGGAGAGAGAGAGCATGGATGGTGTCCTGTTCTTTCTGCCGTTTGCAGATAACCATGAAAGAGAATACCATGCCATCCCATGCTATCCCATGCCATCCCATGCCATCCCATGCCATCCCATGCCATCCAATTCTATCTCATGCCATCCCATGCCATCCCACCCCACCCCACTCACCGCACGACATAAAACTCAACACGGATCTCCTCAGCACGGCACTGAGCATCAGGGGCCGCCACCGCCCACCACGGATACTCCTGCTGCTGCTGCTCCGAGCCTGCCCCCCACCCCATACCATCCCTCTCAACGCCCACTCACCGCACGACGTAAAACTCAACACGGATCTCCTCAGCACGGCACTGGGCATCAGGGGCCACCACCACCCACCACGGATACTCCTGCACTGAACCTGCCCCACCACCCCATACCATCCCTCCTCCTCCCCCTGCATTCCCCACCCAACCCCCCATCCCTACTCCCCCTACCCCTGCCCCTACCCCTGCCCCTACCCCTGCCCCTACCCCTGCCCCTACCCCTGCCCCTACCCCTGCCCCTACCCCTGCCCCCATCCCTGCCCATACCCCTGTTCCTGCCCCTGCCCCCACACTCCCGCCGCCCCCTGCTATTGTCACTGGATCAGTCAAACCCAGTCCTCCAGGGGACGCAGCACCGGACCCGCCTCTGCTACCACTGCCACTGGCAGTAATGGCACCACCACTCACACCACTCACCACACCACCAACCCCACCAATGGTCCCAGCACCAACCCCACCACCAACCCCAGCACCAGCGGCCATATAACTAGCCCCACCACTCGCCCAGCTAGGGCCACCAGAGCTGCCAGTACCGGCGCCGCCGCTGCCCCCGCTTCCAAAGGAGCCTCGCCCCCTCCTGTGGAAGGATGCAAGGGCAGGGCTGCTGGCCGCAGCGTTCGCCGCAGCGGGAGCCACAGCAGCAGTACGGAACTGATGGGGGCTGGCAGGAGGAAGGGAGTAGTGCGGACTGTTGACAGCAGGCGAAGCAGCAGTAGCAGCAGCGGCGGCAGCAGAAACAGCAGGAGCAGGAGCAGCTGCAGAGGTGGAGTTGTTTCTGAAGAGTGTGCCTATTCCACCCATGGAAGAGCCTAATCCGCCTTCCAACCCCATGCCTCCTCCTACACCTCCAATGCCTCCTGCACTACCCCCACCCCCACCCAACCTGCCACCGGCGCTGCCGGTGCTACCCACACTATCACCCCGGGCCATCTTCGCCATAATCGAAGCCACCTGTGCTGCTCGCTGCTCCCTCAAACCCTGCTCCCTCCTCCTCCTCTCCTCCTCTCCTCCCCTCTCACTCTCCCCCTCGTCCTCCTCCTCTTCCTCCTCGGAATCTTCCTCGGAATCTTCATCACTGATCTCCAGCACAGCGTATGTGTTGTCGTCGTCGAGAGCGTCTTGAGCGGGGGCAGTGGCGGCGGTCGCAGCGGCAGAGGCAGCAGCAGCAGCTGCAGTGGCAGTGGCAGTGGCTTCACGTGCAACAGTGGAGAGAGACGCGCCTAGACCTGCCAGAATGCTGAGTCCCAACCCTAGACCCCCACCTTCCTCGCTTGACCCAGCAGCAGCACCAGCAGCGGCACCAGCAGCACCAGAAGAAGCAGCTGCACCACTGGCGCCACTTGTGCCACCATCCTTGGAAGCAGCGCCACCAGCACCATAAGCACTTGCAGCCGCTTGGGCAGCATCACCACCCGTACCTGCAGCACCACCACTATCAGCGCCAGCACCAGCAGGGGAGGGAGCCAAGTTACTAGCAGCAACAGGCTCGGTAGCCGAACCAAAAGCAGGCTGGAACGGTCGAGTCAAGGGGACGCCCAAGCCTGGACCCCCAGCCCAGGCTACAGGCCTTCCTCCCGAGCCTAATCTCGGGCCTGGAGCCATGGTAACACCAGCAAGGATTCCCGTACCGGCACCCCTGCCTCGGCCCAAACTTCCGGGCCTTCCAGGCCTTGCTCCGGCTGCCGGAGCTGAGGTGGAGGTTTGGCTGCCGAAGCTGTCAGATTCAGGGAAATCCATGGCTGAAAGCTCGTAGGTGCTGACACTGCTGCCGGTAGGGGAGAGTGTGCCAGGGGTGCCGAATCCTGAGTCTCCTGACCCATACTCTTCCTCCTCCTCCTCCTCATTCTCTTTTTCTTCCTCTTTCACTATCCTCTTTGCTGGCTCCCCTTCTCCCCCCTCCCTCCCCTTGTCGTTATCCTGCTCGTTCTCCTCTCTCCCATCCTCATCTCCGCTATTTCCTGCCTCTTTCTTATCGTTTCTTTCCACTGATCTACTCATTCCCATGCTTTCATCCACTTGCTTCGGCTCCTTCCTTTCCTCCCTCACCTCCCCTCCACTGCCAACATCACTGCCAACACCACCGCCAACACCACCACCAACACCACCGCCAACACCACTGCTAGTACCACCAGTGTCACCGTTAGTGTTACCAACAGTGACACCACTACTAGCAGCACTGCTTTCCGCATCATCACCACCACCAATAGCACCACCATTAGCCGCAGATGCATTTGCATCCATGCTCTCAGCACGCGCTTTCTCCCCCATCGCCACCTCTCTCTCCCCGTCCTTCTTGCCTTCCTCTTTTCCACCGTCCATCCTGTCCGCTTCACAAGCAACTCCGCTATCCGCCCCAGTTTTCCCAGGGGGCGTTTCCAATCTCATGCTTTCTGAACCGTCGGATCCACCCGCTCTGTTCTCCTCCTCCCTCTTCTCCCCCTTCCCCCTCCCCTGCCCTTCATCCTCGGTAGTATCAGATTCGTCTAGCCCCTCTGAACTTCGGCTCTCCTCCCCTCCATCACCATCACTATTCGCCTTCGTATCACTTTCCTTGACCTCATTTCTATCCTTCATTCCAACCGAACCATCAGACCCATTATCTGTGCTCCCTCCCTTATCTGGTTCAGCTATTCTTATAATCTTACTACCAGTGCCACCACCGCTGCCGCCGACGCTGCTGCTGCTGCTGCTACCAGGTGTGTTGGTCACAATATTCACCCCAACCCCACCTGACTCCACCCCTCTTACCTCCGCTCCACCACTCCTCTCCTCTATTTCTCTCCTTCCCTCACATTCTCCTTCCTTCCTGCTACCTCCTCCTCGCCCGTCCCATCCCCCAACCCCTCCCACCCCTCCTACACCACTCCCCTCCCCCTCTCCACGGGTCCTAGTAGGAGGAGATGGGGGGGCATTCGCAATGGCGTTAGCAGCAGCAACAGCAGCTATCGTAGACGGGGAAAGAATAGCAGCAGGACCGTACTCCACTCCCCCCATACCCCCCCTACCTCCCAGAACCCCTGCATCCCCCAATCCACCCCATCCTACCCCTTCTCTACCTTGCACCATCACCTCCGGCTCTCCCCCCTTTCTTCCCTCCTCCCCACCTCCTCTGACCATCTCAAACTCTCTCTTCCCATCCCCCACCATGGGGCCTGCTGACGTGGATGCTCGAATTGGCATGGCCACGTCAGCACCGATTATATTACTCCGCATGTTAGCTGCACCAATAGAAGGGCTGGAGGAGCCTGGGCCCATCGACACGGGTAGCTCCTCCTGGCCTCCGTCCGAACCTAAATGTTGAGGTTCGGCACGAACGTGCTCAGCCCGAACCGTGCCTGCATCTGCCCCGGTTGGGTCCCATCTATCAACAATGCCAGACCAAGCCGGAACCCCTGCTCCGTATTCCCCATATGTTTCAGGGAAATGTGTAGTCTCTCCAGTTACAAACGGAGCAGCTTCTATCGCGCCTGAAATTCCTCCGTTGTTTTCTTCCGGAAACGAGCTCCCTGGTGGTTGGTCGAGGGTGTACTCGTTATACTCAGCTCCGATTTCGCGAGGATCCCACTGACCGCCGAAATGTTCTCTTAATTCAGCCGGCACGCCTTCTACACCCCCGTATGCTTCCATTCCGTGTCGTAAATACGCCTCGTTTCCATACTGCTGCTGGAGAAATTGCTGCTGTTGGTATTGCTGCTGCTGGAATTGCTGCTGATCGTACGGCTGCTGCTGCTGCCCGTACTGCTGCTGCTGCAGTAGCAGCTGCTGTTGCCTCTGCATTTTGCGAAAATACTTCTCTCTCCGGCGCCTTTCCCGCCGCTCTTGGCGGTCGTCATCGTCGTCGGAATCGGAGGGAACCAGCACTGACTCGACTCCACCCATTCTGTTAGTTTCCGAACCACGGACCAGCACTGACAGCTCGTCCCGAAGATCACACCAAAGCAGCCATTTTACACGAAACGAAATAGAAAGCTTCAATTTCGGGCGACGCTAATTCGTCGAATAGAACGGAAGCAGCACGGACCCCGTTCCCATTCTTAGCTGAGAATGACACCACAGCAGCAACCTCCTGAAGGTCCACAGCAGTACGAGCGTCGTCAAGCTGATCGTTCACGTGATGTGGAAGTGCCGCGTATAAACCTTTTTCCAGGCAGGACTAATTAGTGATTATTCTTGTGTCCCGGCCTGATATGAGCCGTTAGGACGCGGTAAAAGTAGACGATCGATCGTCAGTTGCGATCGATGTGCGGATCGGTTACCCTATTTTCTACGCTGTAACCATACTACAGAACGCTTTTTGGCCCAATTTTTTGGACAGTGTGTGAATGCGACTGATCACAAATCGCGGGAGATCTATCAAATTTCAGTGGCGATCGTTACCGCGTCGCGATCGCCACGTTTCGCCAATCGATTGCGGGGATCGATATGTGCAGACGATCCTGCGATATTTGCACTTTTACCGCGTCCTTAGCATTGTCTGCCGTTTTGCTGTGTGTACAGAGGTTTCTGTGTGAGCCGTAGGTGTTCATGTGTGGTAGTGTGAAATGAAGGTCAACTAACACTCAGCCAGGGATTGCCATTCCGACATTTGCGCAAGAAAAGAGGCCCTAGGGCTTGGTTGGTTGGGTTCGGTTGGGTGCCACCAACTGCACAAATGGTCAACTCCCTCGACTGTAGCGTACATCGCTACTGCAATTATACCTTCCACTAGTTGACCACGTCTAATTTTACGATAGATGCACGTGAATGTGTTTTGCATCAATTCTTGGGTTGACATTAAGCAGATAGCACGGTAAAGCCTTCCAGCAGGCAAATGCGGATTCAGGAAATATAGGAAATTCATATATACGGTATCCCTGGTTGCATGTTCTTATAGTTTGTACATTTGAACCAGAATGGCTTTTTATTACCAGTAATCTACAGTGCCACTTCATGGCCAGCACGGCCCTCCAATCCCATCTAGAAATGAGAGGCTGCATCTAGAATAGAGGTCAGCTGTGGTGTAGTAGACAAGAGATAAGCTGTAGTGTAACTTGAAATGGTATGGCTACCACGTTGCAGTCACAGGGCAGGAGCCTTCTGCAGGGTTGGGTGTTTGGTAGCGAGCAGGTGTCTAGTAGAGCAAGCAGGGAGTGAGTTTGCAAGGAAATCTTGCACCAGCTGGAAGCGCCAATGACTTTCTCTCAAGCCTTGGCAGCAACTGCATGGCTGGTGTTGTCTGGAGCCCCTTGGGAATCTGGTCAAATACATAAGCGGATCAAAAGAAAGAAGGGGAGGGAAATGAGAAGGGGCTCCTTTCATCTCCAATTTCTCCACTCAGAACCTTGATTTCGTAATTACAGGGCAGCTACCTTGATATAGTGACAGGTAGTGAATGGTGTTTGGGAGGTCCCATTCAGTAAGCTCCACTGGTTCATTTCCGCAACTAGCTTATGGCAAGCAATTATGGAAAACACATGGCAAATCACATGAAACAAACCCAGCAGACAGCAGCGCTCACCTTTCTTCCAGAGCACGGAGGGCCGCGGGGCGTCATTCTTGGCGAGGTAGAGCCCACACGCGTTGCACAGGTGCTGACCACTCCCCGACCGATCCTTCCTCCAAAACGGAGTTGTGTGCGTCCCACAATTCCTGCACGCCTTCTCTTTCTCCTTCTCTTTCTCCATCTCCATTCCATTCTCCTTTCCACTCTCCTCCTCCCGATCCTTGCAACAGCCACCCTCCCCCTCCATCTCTCCGCTCTTCCCATCCATTCTGAGAGACACTGGGTCCTCCACCGCATTGCAACCCACTCCAACGTGCTTTTGCCTCTTTTTCCTCTTCCCCTGCGCATCCACGCTCCCGCCCGTTGCGCCCTCTACCTTCCCAAGCCTCCTTTTGTCCCCCACCACTCCTGCACCAGCCTCAGCAGCAACCGTTCCCCCAGGGTTCAGAAAGCCGAACACTCCAGTAGCAGCACCGCCAGCACCAGTGCCAGCAGCAGCACCACCAGCAGCAGCAGCTACCGCAGCAGCTGCAGTCCAGGGGAAATTGGGATACTGTCCCATAGTGCAGGCATACGCTCTGGCTTGATCAGCAGCAGCAGACTGGAAGCTGGGGATAGGGCCGATAGCTGGGAGGATGTGAAGGGGAGTCGAAAAATGGCTCATAGGACTAACTGCGTTAATTGCGGTGGCTGCGTTGACTATATTGACTGCGTTGACCGGGCCCGCCTGGCCCCTTGGTTGCTGCGCTGCTGGACGAATTGGCTGTCCGTCCGCCTTGACTATTTGAAGACCCTCCGTGCCCTGGCTGCACGGCTTCAACGCGAATGGGACGGCCCGGCGGGATGAAGCGCATGCTTCCACAGCAGCAGAGCACGTTGTCGTGGCGCCATTTGACGAGAGCAGAGCTGACGTGTCGTTCGACCCAGAGCTCCTGCTCGCAGCCTTCCACGGGCGAAATCCCGACGGGAGCCGCTCGCGTGGTAACACCTCCACTGGCTTCGCCGCCAATTTCGCCGACGGGCTTCGCTTGACAGAACCCTTCGTCACCATGGAAGAAGGCTTGCTGGCAGCCATTAGGCTCTTGTTAATTTCCATGTTGACATCTGAAGCGGCACCACCAGGGGCTGGTAGGGCAGGACGCGCCGTGGAAAGGAAGGGAGTCGGACCAAAGCAGAACCACGGCGGCGCATTGGGAAACCAAGGCCTTTGTTGCATCCCCATCGCCTGCTGCTGCGCTTGACCGGTCGCGGTTGAATGGGCGAGCAGCATGTGAGAGGGGAAGGCGGCGAAAGGAGCCCACCAGCCAGCCGCAGCTGCCGCGGGGTAGGGAGGAATGTGGCCGAAAGGGACAGCTGCTGCCGCTGGGGCGGGGAAGTGAGGAAAGGGTGCCGTGGGGGAAGGAGCTGCCTTGGCTTCTGTTGTTGTGGCGTCGGGAACAGGAGCGGGAGATGGTTGCGGCTTGATTGTCTTGGGGTGAGGAAGCTTCCAGTGTGAAGACACGTCAGCTGAGACTTTTGCCGATTCAGCGGAGGGAGAAATATGATCGTCGTCTTCGCTATGAACTGAAGTGGCGCAAGGCGGGCTGAGGCTCAAGCCGATTGGCGGAGAAGGATCATCCTTGTATGAGAGAGCGGTAACGTGGGAAGACTCTGGTGAGGATGAAGGCGAAAGGGAGGGGCATTGAGGCGTGGTGGGAAAGAACTGGAAAGGCGAAACGGGGCTGCTTTTAACGCTCTTCTTAGCAAGTGCGTCCATGTTCTCGAGAAGTGGTGGAATGGGATGGATGTAAGTTGTCTGGGTTTGGTTAGATGGGCTCCACATGTGATCAAGCTTCTGACTTTCGTCGTTAGGCAGAAAACCGCGAGATAAGGCAGTGTCTACTTCAGTCATGAAACTAGCTGTGTCGTACGAGGACAGAATTATAACGCTGTAGGCACAAAGCAGAAAGTTTGCTGTGGGCAATGGGGAATCAGGCTCACTTGCCTCAAGGATGAATGATGCTTGAGAGAGAAAGGAGGACCTGTGCGCCAAAAAGTAGAAACTCTAAAACGGTATGCAGAAATGAGCAATGAGGAGGCGATCAGCTGGTGATCAAGGTTTCACTATTGACTGATGCTAAGTTCAGAAAGGGAGCCAGCTCACGCACGAGGCACGGGCGAGATGTGAAGCAAAGTGAAGATGGGATGACTGTGACAATGACAGCGCAAAAGCAACTCCAAGGGGGATGACGCAATCATCTTCCCGCCTGTCTTTGGGGGAGAAAATCTCGATGCGTCTCGCCACGTCTGCACATTCCGCGTGTGTAGTGCGGCTTCCAATGCCTGGGAAAGCGCCACGCCAGCTATGTTCCCAAGGCATCCGTGGCAGGCGCTGCGATCGGCCCGACCAACGATCAAGCAACGTAATCGTCAGTGGTCCCGCAAGTGACCCCCTTTCGATTCGTGCTCCGTCCGCACACTAAATCTGATCCAGTTTAACTGCTAATTTTGAACGAGCGCCCAATCGCTGCTCGGAACTGATCTGGCAATATCCATAATAGAAGGCGTCCACGTAGGCAAATGAATGAAAGCATTCATCAAGCCCCTGCCGCCGCCCCAGATGTTGAATCATGTCCCCCCCTCGTCTCTTCCACAGAACCTTGCACGCGTGGGACAAAAAGGCAGCCATCTTGTGGACCTGCTTCGCTCCCGAATCTCTCGTCGAATAGGAAGAAAGATCTTCTGCTGACCAGGATTTTCAATGGCTCGTGCTTCTCGAAACCTAATGGAAGGATCGATGGAATGCCCCGACTGGTAATGAATCTGGCTTGTAACAGCCCCCATCTGACGTGTGCTTTTGGTGCTCAATGTGGCGCCACGTTTCTCCGCCACATGAATGTTTGGCAACACAGAAAGCAGATGGATTGATCAAGCAACGTTCATGCAACTCCAATGTACCGTCACCTCCACCTTATCGCTATGACGTGGATTTACCTGGAGTTTGAATAACCTCGTTATGGAAAGCTTGAGTTAGTGAGATGACAATGCTGTCAATGTACGGAATATAAACATTGAGTTGTCTATAATGAGTTGTGTACAAATTATTCACTTCAACAAAAACAAGACTGAAATTCCAAGACAAAAGGCTAATGGCGGTTTGGCTGGTTGTCAGCCCAAGGAAGGAAGTTGGACAATTGATTAATGAGGGAAACTTGTGAGACCACGTCCCTCGCCCCCCTAATTGCATTCTTCGTGCTCCTAGCCGCGGAAGCAATCACTGGAGTGACCGAGGGAACAGGCACCACTGCTCGCTCCTCAATCATCGCTGTAACGGCAAACGGAAGAAAACAGGAGAAAAATAGGCAAAACCAGAGGCACACAGGAACCGAATCAAGGAAGAGATAAGAACTTCCTATTCATGCATGTCAGAAAACTGCTGAAAATGCGAGAACTAGCCACGATAAACGTACAGAACTACTCACTCTCGAAAACTCTCGAGTAACTCCTACCTGCTGTACGTGCGGCTGCCAGACTGCCAACTCTCCGCAACCCATCCTCGGCAAGTCGCACTGCACGAGCGGAATTCCTGATCCCTTGCGATATCTCCTGGCTGCATTCACAAAATGACAAATTTGGGTCGTCCAGGGAACCACAAAATACCTAGTGGTACCTAAGAACAACATAGATGCATCCATTGAGAGAAGGCGCGTGCATATCTCTTCCTCCTCTTTCCAGCTGTCACCTCCTTCATCGACCTGGTGCTTCCTCCCTCTACCTGCCCATGCGCTCACCTGAGGTCGCTCGTCTCCATGCCAGAAAGCCGCACAGCCGCCATCGTCCCGGCACCTCCTCCTTATAAATGTCATCGTTTCCCTCTACCTGATCTGGCGCTCACCTGAGGTCGCTCATCTCCATGCCTGACAGCCGCACCACCGCCATATCCCTCGTACCCCTCCTACCTGGTACTTTCTCCCTCTAACGATCACCTCCTCCCTCTACCTGCCCCCTGCCCATGCGCTCACCTGAGATCACTCAGCTCCATGCTCAGGTCGCTCAATTCCATGTCTGACAGCCGCACAGCCACCGTCTCCCTGGCAGCTTCCCCTCTACCTGCCGCCACCTCACCCTACCTGGGAATCCCACGAACTTACCTGGGAGCACCTGAGAGTCACCTGTGCTCACCTGATATCGCTCAGCTCCATGCCCGACAGCCACATGCACAGCCATGGTCCCTGGAACCTCCTCCTTGAACCTGCAGCCTCCTCCCTTTACCTGAGAGTCCCACAGACTCAATCGAGTGCATCTGAGAGTCACCTGAGATCACTCAGCTCCATGCTCAGGTCGCTCATCTCCATGCCTGACAGCCGCACAACCCCCACTCACCATGCCTTTCCTTCATCTATCTGTCAGCCCCCTCCGACGACTTGAGAATCGCAAAAAACCCGCCTGAGAGCACCAAAGCGTCCTTTGCGCTCACCTGAGGTCGCTCAGCTCCATGCTCAGGTCGCTCATCTCCATGCCTGACAGCCGCACCGCCGCCATGGCCCCTGGCACAATCGTCTCTCATCTCCCTTGCACCTCCTCCCTCTACCTGGTACCTCTTTCCTCTACCTGCCCTGGGCATTGCCTCACCTGAGGTCACTCAGCTCCATGCTCAGGTCGCTCATCTCCATGCCTGACAGCCGCACCGCTGCCATCGTCCCTGGCACCTCCTCCCGTGCCACCTCCGCTAGCCGCTCCAGCGCCAGAGCTGCCTTGCGGATGGCCTGTGGGACATGAGGGAAGGGAAGGGAGAGACTTAACAAAGCACACACAAGTCCCTGGAACCTCCTCTCTTGCCACCTCTGCTAGCCGCTCCAACGCCTGTGCTGCCTTGCGGATGGCCTGTGGGACCCGACAAAAGAGGGGGGAAGAGGAATGGAGGGAATGAGAAAGGGAGAGAGGGGAGAGTCTGAACAAGGCACACTCAAGTCCCTGGCACCTCCTCCCTTGCCACCTCTGATAGTCGCTCCATCGCCTGTGCTGCCTTGCAGACAGCCCAGCGGAAACCAAATGGGAGGGGATGGGGGAACGGGCGGGGTGGGGGGAAGGGACAAATGGCATGGTAAGAGCCAATGCTATAGCCATCTTTTACAGAAGCCAACCCAAACACACTATGTGCGAATGGTGCTGCATTCTCAGTATGAACTCATCAGAAGGGCTGCGTTCTCAGTATGAATGTGTATGGACGAACTCACCAGAAGGGCAGGCACCGCGGCGACGAGCATGACAGAGAGCGCTGCTGTGATCTGCATGGAACCGCGGCACGGGGGAAAGGACATGGCAGAGGGGAGAAGAATGAAGGTCGGGTTTCGGACTTGCGGGGTTTGCGGGGAAGAAACAAGGGAAGGCATGAGGTGATCTATGCGAATGGAATGGACCACGTGTACTGTACTGAAATGAGCAGGAGTTACTGAACCTGCAGCAATCCTTCCCTATTCCTTTGTTACACATCAGGCCTGTGATAACGTGCGTGCACATAACAAGTCCGCACACACCGAGCGAGAATCTTACATTCCGAACCTACACTCTGAACCCGTACACACCGAGCCTGCCCTCCAGCCCCGTACGCACCGAGCATGCCACGAAGCCGAGGCACAGCACAGGAAAGTCGACCGGCACTCCTCCCGCCCCAAATCTGATTGGCGGAGCCGCTGAGATCGACGCCATGTGCTGCAACGAAGTTGGTCGCGATGCTGACGTGGCGGACGGATAACCATCATGCGACACGGGTTCCGCGAGGCGGCTCGAAGAGGACGATATTTGTCTGACAGAAGCGAAGGCTCCAGGATTAGTGTTTGTGTTGGTGTTGGTGTTTGCGAACGTCGCATGGTTAGCGTTGAGCGAATGGTAGTCGTTGGCGACGGCTGAAGGTTCAGCGCTGCTGCTGCTGTGGATGGACGTTGACGGCGAGTTGTTGACGGACGGCGGAGGGGAGATGCCCGAGGAGGTTTGATCATGTTGGAAGAAAGCGACGGCGATTGCACTGCGACGGTTTGGGCTTCGCCGGGTGCCGTGGGAGACGGAAGCGACGCGTGCGACGGAGTCAAACGACGGTTGGCGAAGACGACACGAATCGAAGCCACTCGGTTTCAAATGTAACGGCGGAGATCGAAGCGAGGCCTGCGCATGGCCGGTACGAGTCAACGGACGGCTACTCTGACAGGATGCTGCTGCTGTTGTTGCACATCGGTCTGCGAAGAACGACGACATGACAGTACCCTGCGTGGATCCAAGAGATTTTGCTGTGGAAACGGAAACGGTTTGGAGAGGCACAGCCATGGCTACTGAGTCCAATACGCGCGTGATTAGTCAGCAGCAGACGCGAGCGCACGCGTAGGCCACAGCGGGCCGACACGCGCAGGTGAGAAACAAGCGATGATAGGATACTTGTGTTGGTGTAAAGGATGTTCGAGTAGAAACGCTTCGCGTGTCCAAATAGATCGGAAAAACGGATCTTTAATGCTTGTGATTGATCTCTACTGCTCAGATCGAAGGAGCCCTTATTTCGACTCTGCAACTGAAGGGTCTGGCGTGCAAATCGCTTCAGCAAGCAGCACCACTTACGTCGGAAGCGGCAAGTGCAATCTAAAGAGAATGCTCGTACCAGACTCAAACCAATCCCCTTTCTCAGAAACCTATTCCAGAACGAGATCCACTGGAATGTGCCAGCCACAATCTAGTCTACCCTAAATCCAACAAGTGTGGCAGCACTAGGGAAGTGAGACTCTGTGTAAAGGAGTGATGACTCTCGGCCACATAAATTCTGAGGGAGTGAGGGGCGAGGGCGTGGTGGAAGGGCATTTCGCTCGTTTGACATCTACCGAAAGTTCAAAGCGGAACTGTTTCAAGTGAGCGGCTGTTGGGGACTGTGGCTGGGAACGTGTGAAACTCGGTCTGACACCTCGGTCTGCAACTTCAAATTAAATACGCCAAGAACGGGCCTTCCTCCCCTCATCCCCAAACACAGCAGTCTGGGGAGGGCAAGGGACAGTGGATGCGCTGGCGAGTGCCCCTGATCGTGTCAGCAACTTGATTATCAGCGCTGTGGATTCCAGGACGACGAATGAAAGCCATCCACGCTACGCTGAATGAAGTAGCTCATGTCAGCAGCACGAGTGCCACGAAGGAGAAGATTCAACAAGAGAAGATATCCTGAGACTGAACATTCAAATATCGCCATGCCAAAACAATCGTGTATACCATTCATAACGTAATTAGGATGAGTACCGGTAACATGTTACACAATGCAACCTTCGCCGAGATACTGCAAGCTGCCCGAACGCGAGCAGCAGAAGCAATTACGAAAGCAAATGTCGTCGCTAAAAGAAACGCGGACCGCCACCGCCGCCCAGTCACGTACCAGTTCGGAGATAACGTACTGCTCGACACAACGAATTTAAGACTGCCCATCGTACCGAAACTTCGACCGCGCTACTGTGGACCATTTCAAACCAGCCACAGGATCACCCCATTTACCGCCCGTGTACTGTTGCCGACAGACTGGTACATCAGCCCATCGTTCCACGTCAGCGTGCTTCGCCCATACATCCCGACCACAAGCCAATTACCACGATATCGCCCACCATAAATGACTCGCCCTGCATCGGAACCGATCGTCGGGCCCGAGAAGATTTTGAGCCATCAGATTCATCACCCCACGTGCATCAAGAGAATCGAGTTCCTTGTTCCCTGGAAAGACTGCGCGCCAATTGAAGATAGTTGGGTGCCCCTGCCCAACATCGAAAACCACCGAGCCCTGCAAGTGTACCTGAGGAGCCGGGGTTTCCAGGATATACACGCACTCGCGTAGTGGAGGGGGCTTCTTGGGGGGGGGGGGGGGGTAGTGTAAGGTTTTTTTTCAACATTCCTTATCGCGTTCTTCGACATCGCGTAAAGCAGCAGCTGTTGCTCGCCCGCTACTGCTAAGGGGGCTTCGCCAGTTTCGTGCGCACTGTTTTACCAAACCATGCACCGCTGGCCTGGCCGAGTCGGCCTACGCTTCGGGATGCAGTCATCACCCCCGTTCCCTCTTTAGGAGAATTGTTTCCAATGAGTTGGGCTTTCTTCTATAGTATCCTTTTGCTGCACTTCTGCACACCGCATGGTTCCTTGCCATCCATTCCTTCAGATTGCTCATTAACACACAAATAGTTCAAGCATTGTAAAGAAAGATAGATACGGCAACACTCTTGAAGGTGTCGTTTTTTCAGATCGTTTTGGCATGGCTCAAACTCCCTGCTACACAAGCTGAGTTCTGAGTAGATTCACCACACGATTTCAGCCTATCACGTCAAGTTCACTACCGTGCTGACAATCTAAGCGAAACTGAGGGTAGTTTGCAAGGAGCCTAACCACTTGCCTAAACGCAGAACAGTGGCTTGGCAGTAGGCTGGAGTACGAACCAGCCGACAAGGGGAGACGTTGAACCCACTGCACATGGTCAAAGTGCACCCCAGCGTGTTATTTGCTCGATGTTAATCTGTTAGTACCTAAGTACCTACGTCACCTAAGAGAACAGAACCAAACTCCCTGTTATGTCATTGCACGGCACAGCCATCCACATAGCTGCATTCGTGTGATTCGTCCATGTCGCATTTCCCGTCACTGCAGGGAGAAAGGGGCAGACAACGTTGGAATGGAAGATGCGATTAGAAAATGAAGTCATGTGTCTAGGAATGTTTCAGCGGCGGGTCAGGACTCATCAGGGTCCTCGAAAAGAAAACGTATAGCTCGTAAGGTTGAGTCGGTAATGTCACACCAGTGGAAACAGCGAATCCTGTAGCCGACTGGAGTGTGAACTGTACCTTGGGTCGTACTCTCGCACTGATGTGAGAGCCATTCCAAGCTCATCCCGCCATCGTAGCTTCCTCTGCCGAGGAATCTTCGCGTGAGGCTCCCCTTCTAGCGACGCTGCTGCTGCAGCTGCTGCTCTCGCGATCAATACAGGCGAAATCACGCCCGAACATGCCTGTTTCCCGAAAACGGGCGCCATCAAAGGCCGCATCGCGTCTACAAGAATTGGGGAGTTGGCTTCGTTGTAGGAATGAGCTGCTTCGAGGAAATCAAGGCACGCTGTGGCTCCGGATTCAGATTCGTCGCCTCGCAGTTCTGTTGAGCCCGCGCAGCAGGGGACGATGGAAGGCCAGGAGAAAGGAAATAAAGTGGGCGGAGCCAACGACCAGGCTTCGGTGAGAGTGAGAGTCATGTTCGCTCACGGGATGTGATATTACTCTGTCAGGCTCGTTTCCGTCTTCAAGCTTTAGTCTGCAAAACGTTTACCAGCCTCGTTCAAGTCCTCAACTTCTCATGGTACGAAACTATCAACTTTCCATTATAACAAAGCGAGGCATCAGAAATGGGTGACCTGATAAAGGTGCAGGCAGGGAAATGAATCAGAGGATTCTCAACAAGAATTGAAGGAAATGGCGGGAACAATTTCACACACTGATTTTAGGCAGCTGTTGAAAGTGCTGCGGCCTGCTTGGAAATCTCGATGGGGTTCCACCTTCCATCACACATTTCGCTCAACTGCGTCTCGATAGTACATTTCAAAACGGGAAGTGTTTGTGCGTGTGATGCGAGACAAGTAACAGCTGGTTGGGAGAGGGGGTCCAAATGACATGTATCGGCCAATCAAAAACGTGTTTCTGAAGAGCGGTTCCAAGGGTGTCTCGCGATTCGCGACCTTTTTTTGGAAAGGCATCGATTCGAACCTCAACGGCTTCTCCACCTTGGCGGGAAAGAATGGAAGGTGTGAAAGTGGCTAACATTTTCGCAAAAGCATTCCTTGCAGTTACCTTCGCGAGTCGCGACGCATGTTGGCTCGTTCCAGGAAGGGTAAGTAGCTTTCGCAGGGGTATTACTAGCGACCCTGCGCTTTCAAGGGGACTACAGTGCTAGTTGCGGGCACTTTCCGCCCCTCCGCCTTTCCGACAGGAACATTATGGCGACAACACAGAACTAGGTCCCACATTCACCCACGTGTCACAAATTTGAAAAGTTAGAAAACGCATGGCAAAAAAAAAAAAAAAAAACCCATAGGGAACCTGGACTCATTTTCGGAGGGATCAACCCTAAACACGGGAACCCACATTTTTTCAGGGTTGATGCCTCCCCGAGACGCATCCCTTCCCGATTGGGTTTTAGTTTTTTTTGGTCAGGTAAAGGGATATTTTTTCCAGTGGCTTGCGAAATTTGTGACACATGGGTGAATGTGGGACCGAGTTCTGTGTTGTTGCCATAATGTTCCTGTCGGAGTGGCGGCGTGGCGGAAAGTGCCCGCAACTAGCACTGTAGTCCCCTTGAAAGCGCAGGTTTGCTAGTAGTACCCCTTCGAAAGCTACTTACCCTTCCAGGAACATGTTGTGTCTACATATTCGTATTCGTTTTGGCCATTTTCAGGTGCATGCAACATAGTCGAGGCGCGCTATTCAGATGCATGCTACCCCGTCGTTTTTCTCCCTCTGTTTCCACTGTTTGTACACATCCGCCACTAAAAGTACTGTTCCGTCACATGATGCAACCCGCGCAACACAAGCAGCACACGCAACAAACGCAGCACACAAAATCGGCCTGGCAGGGAAGCCCGAAAAGGAAAAATAGAACTCCTTGAAAACCTGGACATTGTTCGGGAGGGATCAACCCTAAACACGGGAACCGTCATGGTGTTTAGGGTTGATGTTGTAAGGCAGTGGAAAAAAAAAAACTAGGGAACCTGGACTCACTTTTCGGAAGAGATCAACCCTAAACACGGGAACTGCCCTCCTGTTTAGGGTTGATTCCTCTCGAGTCGTATGCGTTTCCAATTGGGTATTATATGTTTTTGCCCATTTTTAGTCGGGTGTGTTGCGATATGTACTGACCTTGTTCGCCAGGCTGCGACTGGCGTGGTTGGACGACAGTTGGTGTCAGTCGGATTGTATCATCCCCTGTCAGAACAGTAATTTTCGTGGCGGGGGTGTACATACAGTAACAACAGAGGGTGAAAAACGACGGGATAGCATGCACCTGCATAACGCGCCTCGACTAAGTTGCATGCACCTGAAAATGGCCGTATTCGTTTACACTACACATTCCAGGACGAAATGTAGAACGGCCATTTTCAGGTGCATGCAACTTAGTCGAGGCGCGCTATTCAGGTGCATGCCAGGTTGCGTACACTTTTTCTCAGGTTAAACAATTTCTCCCGTAAATTTACCCGCTTTTCGAGATTCGATTCAAATTGGCACAAAAGATCTGAAATAGATGCGATTTCGGGCTACGCAAAATTGGAATCGGAATGGTTGGCTCTCGATGCTGCATTTTCTGACGTCACTCAGTGCAATGATTGCAATTCTGCCCCATTTCTACGCAAATATTTGCTTCGCACCAACTTTTTTGAACGAATTGTAATGCTAAATCGTTGGTACTGTTGGCGCAGGTGGCGGCCGCCTCGCGGGTCAAATCAGCAAACCCTAGTGGGACGTGCGTTACTTGGAAAGGGTAATCCGAAACACGAGAAATATGCCCGAGTGTTAGAGGGAGTTACCCCTACCGCTATTAAGGATATATTGTACGTTCCATGTATATTTAATGACACGTAATGAACGCCATGACATACCACCTATTTCAATATATATGTACGGCAAAACATTAATTTTAGTAGAGGCAAAATTTACAAACACACACGAAGGGTTTGCTGATTTGCCATGCGCAGCGTCCGTCATCTGCGTCAACAGTACAACAGATCTAGCATTAGATTCGTTCACAAAAGGTTGGTGCGAAGCAGAAATTTGCGTAGAAATTGGACAAAATGCAATCATTGCACTGAGTGACGTCAGAAAATGCAGCATTGAGAGCCAACCATTCCGATTCCAATTTTGCGTAGCCCGAAATTGCATCTATTTCGGACCTTTTGTGCCAATCTGAATCGAATCTTGTAAAGTGTATGAATTTACGAGAGACATTGTTTAGCCTGAGAAACAGTGTACGCAACCTGGCATGCACCTGAATAGCGCGCCTCGACTAAGTTGCATGCACCTGAAAATGGCCGAATGTAGAATACTCACGGATTCAACGAGTTTACTCTTGAAGGGAATGACTCATTGAAGTGCTTCACTTCACACAGCTGGAAGTGGATGTATTTGCTGAAATCTCGTACATGCAGTGACCGCGGCTCGTATTTACAACTCAAACTCCAAGTTGTACCCTTTGGGTGTGGCTGTAGGCATCTGAAACCAATCACAGATTCTCATGGCGACGAAACTAAACGCCAAGTCGCGCATATGCCCGTTAGGATGGCAGTGCCAGCGGGGTGTGTAGTGCAAACCAGACCGTCCTAGGTGTGAGCCGGATATGCGTAGATGTGCACCTTGGATGTTAACTTACCCGTCCTTTTATTCCAACACATGAGGTCTCCTGGAGTCGAGTCTCGACATGCATTCATCTTTCAGTGTCTCTCAGGTCATCGTTCGCCTAAGCTTTGCATTCAGTGAAATTCCCGTCAAAGGTGCATCCCCGGATGGCTTACGGAACAAACTGCTCTCAAGGCCCTCCATCAGCACAGCAGAGGCTGGAAACTGAGCACCATAGAGCTCTCCGTCAGGCTATCCATTTTCACTTCGCTAGATTCCCAGGCTGAAACAGCTGTCGTCATCCCTTCGAAGCACCCTTTGAAGCACTCAGCCGTTCCCCCCAAGCTTTTTGACAGGCGCTGGCAGATCGTAAGAGCACATAGAAGCCGCCCGTATCCCGCGACCATCACCTATGATTGCTAACCGCGTTAAAACAGGCGCTGACTGATCCTTTTGATGTAATAACACTTAGAAGCCGCCCCTATCCCGCAACCATCACTAATGATTGCTAGCCGCATCATTGTCTGATCGTTTCCTTTCCTTCCGCATTACGCCACTGGTCATTGCGCCAGCCAGTGGGCCCCAGGAGAAAGCGAGCCTTTTCGACCAGCTTAAAGAAGATCCTGCTCTCGACAAAAGGACCGAAATCGTGTGCACCAAGCGACAGCGGCGACCGTGTCCTGAAACGGCGCTCCTTGGTCCGATTAACAATGGGTCTAGATCCAAATATCCTTTTTTTCTATGCGTTGGAGAGCCAGCACACCAGGTGCTATTATCACTGTGCCTTTGATCTAGCTGGCAGAGAAAAGGAAGACACCCAGGCCTATCTCCTTGAGCCACGTCGTAGATTCCGTATCCACTGCATATATCCGCAGGCCACGGCCCAATCAAAGATCACTGATTTTTATAGAAAAGCAGGTTAATAGAAGGTTCTAAAATCTCCGGGTGCTGGATTTTTTGTCTTAGCTCAGCTAGCGCGTCACTTTTCGAGAATTCCAAGACCAATTCCGAAGATTTGTTGGAAGGCTACCTTGAGGTTCTCCGTTTGCTTATCGCTCAGCCCGCGGCTCACTCTCAAGAAAGTCTTTACTATTTGATGTCTCGTCCGGGTCTTCCTTTCTTCAAGGATCTCCAACCCTTTCTGTGCCTCTGGCCAGTGACGATTGAGGAGCCTTCAAGATACTAACTTCGGATTGAGTTCTGCTTTGAAGTGCGGAAAGCCATGGATTCCTTTAAGGTGTACATTTCAGAGGAGGAGGATTCCTTATCTCCATCCACCCTCCCCTCCGTCTCTCCACCTTCCTCGCCGTCGTCCCCGGGATCATGGCTTCGCGGTCCCCTTCTCGGCTGCGGAGCCTTTGGAAGCGTCAGCCTCGCAATTGACGGCACAACCGGCCACCTGATGGCCGTCAAGTCGGTGACGGCTAGCGGTGACAGCGACCGTCAGCAGTCCCGGGAGCTGCAGGCACTGGAGAACGAGCGGCAGATCCTGCAGAAAGTGAGCTCGCCGCGGGTGATCGAATGCTACGGCGCGGATTGGTCCGAAGAAAACGGCGTCAAATCAAGGAATCTCCTCCTGGAGCTCGCGTCAGGCGGCTCTCTGGCCGATCTGCTGAAGAAGTTCAACAAAGGCGACGGCTTGGATGAGATTCTGGTGCGGAGGTTCACGCGGGGAATCACGGAGGGGCTTCGGGATTTGCACGCTCGCGGGATCGTGCACTGCGACGTGAAGGGCCAGAACGTGCTACTGTTCAAGTCTGGCGTGAAGCTCTGCGATTTCGGCGCGTCGTTTCAGCTCGACTCGCCTGGGTCGTCGCGGGATTCGTCGGGAGCTTCTCCGCGAGATTCGCTTCAGTCGCTGGATGTTAACGAAGATCGGGAAGCCCCCGGGTGTGCAAACGTTGCGGGGAAGGCGAAACTGGGGGGAACGGCGGAGCGGAAGCAGATGAAGGGGACGATTTGCTGGATGGCGCCGGAGGTGGTCGCGGAGAAGGGCGCGACTCCCGCTTCTGACGTCTGGTCGCTGGGATGCACCGTTATCGAGATGCTGACGGGACGTCCGCCGTGGGTTTCCAAGGAATCCGTCACGCAGAATCGCCAGTCTCCGAAATCGTTCATGTCGGTTCTGTACAAGATTGGTTGCTCCGTCGAGGTTCCTGATTTTCCGGCGAGGATTTCCGCTCAGGGACGGGATTTCTTGCTGAAATGCCTGGATTGCGATCCTGACGGACGGTCGACGGCTGAGGATCTGCTGCAGCATCCGTTCATTCGAGTTGCATCAGGCGAGAGTGACGTGGTTCTGACGGATCACTTAACGTCTGGCCGTGACACAGTGGCAGATGCGAAGCTCGCTCAAGCAGCAACAGCCTCTGTTTCCTTAGTGGATGATTTCAACTTCTTCACCAACATTCCGAGAGGTTCAGACTTCAACCAGGCCGATGTCGACAGCTTCAACATGCTGCCTGGTAAAGCTGCATCTGGGACAACCAGCAGCAACACGACTCCAGTGGACCATCCCCCCCGCCCAGCCTTCACCATGCCTCCGCCTCTCAACCTCTCCTTTGATTTCACCAGTGAGCCGAGTGTTGGACTCCTGACAGCACGTGGAGGAAGACCCAGCTGCTTTGAAGGTTTCTTCAGCCCCACCAGCTTTGATCAGAGTCCAACATCAGTGGATGATTCACCGAGTGCAGACACCACTGGCGCTGTGGACCATGCTGCATTCAAACTATTCGACGATGCATTTGCTTCTTCTTTCCTCTCGGGAACACCCTCTTCTCATCTCCTCTCCCCGCTGCACGAGGTAGCACATGCCTTCAGTGGCGGTTCCTTCTCAGACCAGCTTTCCCCATCAAACCAGCTCTCTCCAGGGAGCCCTTCTGATGAGCCGCTGTTTCCCCCTGCACGCTCAGCACCTGGGTCCTTCCATTCTACCCCTCAGCCTGAAGCATCTTCTGCAGCACCTCCAGCTCCGTCTTCCTCTCTGTTGTCTCTCTTCCATGACTTGAGCTCTCGTGAAGAGTCCACTCCTGCTCTGCCTGTAAGGGCGTTCCCTCTTGTATCCGAAGTTTCTCTTTCTCCCCAGCTTAATGGCTGTGATTTGTCGACGCATTGCTGGGATTCGCCATCAGCAAGTGAAGCTGCTGCTGAGCATGATGCCGACATCAACTGCTGCTGTGCTGTTGAGAGTAGTAGCTCCAAGGCTCTTTCATGGAGATCTGCACCTTCGATGCTCGGTGTTGAAGAGTCATCAGACCATACATTTACTTTTGGGTGGCAGATGTTTGGGGTGGAAGTTGGTCAGATGGCAAGGGATGATTTTAGGGCTGAAACTAGTGTGGGTTGATCGTACAGTGTACATATGTCAAGTATGTGCAAGCATTGCTGTTGTATGTTTATTTCTACTGATGCCTTTACACACGATCAGACTTTGAAAGTACAACAAATACCAGAGGTATAGTGAATATACAATATACCTAAACCTTTACCAGAGTTTGTATAAAAGATTGTACATGGTGTGCATCACCATAGCCTCCCCAACATCCCCATAGAACATCCCATTCTTGGTGCCTTCTTTCGCCTTATGGCAAGTATAATGCCGATCCTTCACACTACACGTATCAAAGTACCTTGGGATCTCCACCGGCCACCCATCCAGATACCCAATCCCGTACCGCCGAATTTCCGTCTTGATCATACCGTTCATATGCTCGATCAGCAAGTTGGTCGGAACCAAAACCTCGCACGTCCCATACGGCTTCCAAGGGACGATACTCCGGTACAGCATCCATGGCTTCCCGCTTGTTCCGGTAGGAGCTTCATTCTCCTTGCCGTGTTTTGCATGCCACTTTTGCAGCCTGTCCTGTTGACGCCTGGCCCAGGCGACGTACGCGGGGAGGTGTTTACTGAAGGCCTGTTCCGGCTGAAAGCAGTTGCAGGTGGCCCAGAAGCCACCGTCGATGATTGTCACATCGGCGGAAAGGGACAAATCAGGGAAGGTGTTGTTGCGGTGCGACCAGAACCCTCGGCGGCTGTAAGAAGGGAGGGAGGTACAGAGAGAGGGAGGGAGGGAGGGAGGGAGGGAGGGAGGGAGGGAGGGAGGGAGGGAGGGAGGGAGGGAGGGAGGGAGGGAGGGAGGGAGGGAGGGAGGGAGGGAGGGAGGGAGGGAGGGAATGGGGTCATGAGTCGGTACGACGGTGGAGAGAAACAATAAGATCGTTGAAAGCTATGGTAGATTTAACAGTGTTTGGAGCCGGCAAACCAATGATAGGTCTTGAGGCGTTCGACTTGGAAAATAACAAGAAGCAAACAATGGAAAAAAAGGGAAATGGAATGACTTACGTGCATCCGTACTCGTCGTTATGGTACATTCCGTCCACCCAATAGAAATTCAATTTCAATGGCTTTAAGTCCGTCCTCCCCTTGGGCGGCGGGATGTTGATCACAATATCCCCGTGGAACTTCCAGAGTGCGTCGTCGACGTCGTGCATAATGAGGTAGTTTATAAAGAGCATGAGAAAGCGCTGGTGCGAGTCGCCCACAAAGCTGATCTCCCGAATGCCCCGCGCCGCCAGCGCCTCCACCCACTGCGATGGGGGGGGCACCGGGGAGGCGCACGGGAAGAAACGCCACCTGGGATTGGGAGGAGGAGGAGAGAGGAATTTGATTTAGGCGAGAGGTTAGGCGCACGGGTAGAAGCGCCACATGGGAGGGGAAGAAGTGGGGGGGGGGGGGCGGTTGTTATGGACAGATGCCAAAGGTTCAGATTCAGGCAAGGGGTGAGGCACAGGGTAAGAAGCGCCACGGCACCACCTGTGAGAGAAAAGGGTGAGGACAGATGTTATAATTTGGGCAAAGGGTGAGGTGCATGCACGGGAAGAGGCGCCACCTGGGGGGGAACATATGGGGAGGATGAAGGACAGAGGGCGTGATTAAGGGAGAAAGAGGTGAGGTGCTAAGGAAGAGGCATTACCAAGAAGGTACAGTGGGACGATGCGCTGATGCAGCCTGAAGCAGCCTTCAAGGAAAGAAGCACATGAAAGAGGGTTCAGGGAAGCATGATTGTAGGGAGTAGGGAAGCATAACTGCAGGGAGGGACAGTGATGGAACCTGGAATCACTCTTGAGAATTCTCAAAAGTGATTTCTACATAGGGACAGTGATGGAAGTAAGGCCTCCGCAGCCCACCTGTCCGTTACTGACAGCTTCAACAGAGGGACAGTGATGGAACCTGGATTCATGCATGTGGAAAAGCTCTGAGAAGAAGATCACCTGCAGGAGGGCCACCTGTCCGTTACTGACAGCTTCAACAGAGGGACAGTACTGATTTTTGAGGCGCCTCACAAGTCAGCTTCAACAGCGGGACAGTAATGGCATGGAACCAGGATTTATGCATGTGGAAAAGCTCTGAGAAGAAGATCACCCGCAGGCCACCTCATCCACGCGGCGTGGCGCCATGTGATAGGCACAGAGAAATACTCTAGTTCACTCAAGAGCCACGTCAGCATGCAACATCCGGGGCCACGACGCGTCACCTGTAGGCGTTGCTCACGTGGAGCCATCTGCCAGCAACAGCCTGATCGCACGGCGCTTCATGCCACTCCGCCTCAGCCTGTGCCAGCCAATCCTTCCCTTCCTCCGCCTCCGCTCCCCCCTCCGTCCCCCCTTCCGCTCACCTCTAGGCTTTGTCCACATAACGTAAAGCCATCTGCCAGCAACAGCCTGATCGCATTTGAGAATTCCCAAAAGTGAATTCAACACACCTGTAGGCTTTGTTCACGTAAAGCCATCTGCCAGCAACAGCCTGATCGCACGGTGCTTCATGCCACTCCGCCTCAGCCTCCGCCAACCAATTCCCTTCCTCCGCCTCCCCCTCCGCTCCCCCTACCCTCCCCTTTTCCGCTCCCCCTTCTGCTCCCCCTTCCGCCCCCCCCTCTCCCCCCCCTCTCTCTGCTAATACACGCTCCACTTCCCCTTCGGCTTTCCCCCGTTTCCCCCCATACCCTGCCCCACTGGCAGCATTTGGGAGAGAATCCGCAGGAAGATGGGAGAGATCTCTTGCGGAGGGGAGGTGGAGGTTTGCAAATGGGTGCGCAACGGTGAGGGTCCAGTTGGCAAAGGGCTCGACGCCTTGCTTGGCGAATTTCGCGGTGTAGTTGAGATTGGTGCAGCCGGATATGACTGTGACGCTGCACGGGGTGAGAGGAAGGAGGGCAGAGGCGGGAGAGGGGGACGGGAGGGGTGGAGGGAGAGAGCTGAGTCGGGATTGCGGTGTGGTTGAGATTGGTGCAGCCGGATATGACTGTGACGCTGCGAGGGGAGTTGGGGGGCGGGGGATGGGGGGGGGGTTGAGTCAACTAAAAAAAAGTCCAGTTGGCAAAGGGCTCGACTCCTTGCTTGGCGAATTTGGCGAATTTCGCGGTGTAGTTGAGATTGGTGCAGCCGGATACGACCGTGACGCTGCAGAAGGGGGGGATGGGAAGGGGAAGGGGAAATACAATGGGAGGTAGGATCCGCGGGAAGGTGGGGGAAAACCTCTCGAGGAGGAACAGGTGGGTGGGGGATGGTGAGGGTCCAGTTGGCAAATGGCTCGACGCGCTGTATCTGAACTAACACGCAAAAGTCCGTTTGGGACGAGTTTTGAGCCGACTCAAAACTCGAACCTCTCGAGGAGGAACAGGTGGGTGGGGGATGGTGAGGGTCCAGATGGCAAATGTATCGGAACTAACGCGCAAAAGTCCGTTTGGACTTTTCGCGGAGTAGTTGAGATTGGTGCAGCCGGATATGACCGTGACGCTGCAGCAGGGGGGGGTGGGGAGGCGGAAGGGAGGGGAAGGGAGGGGAAGGGAGGGGAGGTAGAGAGAGGTGGGGAGGGAGAGAGCTGAGTCGGGATTGCGGTGTAGTTGAGATTGGTGCAGCCGGATATGACCGTGACGCTGTGTGGGGGGGGGACGGGTTGGGGGGGAAAGAGGAGGGGGGAGGGGGAGGGGTGGAGGGAGGGTGGAAAGGAGTTGGGGGAAGGGAAGGGTAGGTACAATGAGAGGGAGGAGAAATCTCACACACACCTGAAGACCCTCACACACACCTGAAGACCCTCACACACACCTGAAGACCCTCACTCACACCTGAAGACCCTCACACACACCTGAAGACCCTCACTCGCACATGAAGACCCTCACTCACACCTGAATAACCCACTCACGTGTATTCCCCCGCGTCCCAGACTCGATAAGACACCTTCCACCGCTTGCTGTCGCTCCCAATACGCTTCACGTCCGCGTACGCGATAGAACGTCCCCACAGCTCCACTATAAGAAAGTCCGTAAACGCGTCTGTCTCTGGAAACACCCATTTCGCGGGCGGTCGTATTTCGATCTCGAAATTACACCACTCCCCCGCGACGCACCCCGCGCACCCGCTTCCGAACATCAGCACCCCCCCGCGCCGCTGGCCGGAGTGCTTCCGCTTTTTCCGCCGCCGATCGCGGCTCGCGTCGTCGTCCCAGCCGTACCCGCCGTGGTCGCCGGACCACCAGCAGAGCGGCTTCCCGCCGAACTGCACGGCTCGAGCGTCAAAAGCGGCGGAGGATGCGGCGGCGGATGCGGCGACGGACGCGTCGACAAGATCGCGCGCGCCGATAGCCCCGGCGTCGGTGCCGCTGCCTTTGTCGCACGGCTGAGCGGATGTTGCGGCAGCATTTGCGGGAGAATTAACGACGAAGCCGCGCCAAGCCGAGGCGCCATCGCCGTCGATTAAAACGAGTGGACTGAACCAAAAGGCTAGAGCTAGGAGCCCCCCCGCTAATAGCACCAGCTTTAAGAACTGCCGCGCGTATTGCGAAGCGGGATGGGCCGCCGCTACCCCGATCGGCATTTCCGTGATCTCCTAAACTCAACACCCGCCAGCTCTGTTTTTTGAGACGTCTCAAAACTAGATTACTACCGCTACTCCGATCGGCATTTCCGTGATCTTCTAAACTCAAAACCGCCAGCTTTCTGAGAACCTATCTTTGTGACAAACCAGTTTTGCTGGAAATGCGTGTTTCTAAGGAGAAAGCTCAGGCGCGGAGGAGCAGCTGGAAAATGCCGCACAATGAAGGCGCCAGAGCGACCTCGTCTTGCCACGTGTGCGCCTTCCTCCACCAAGCAGGCGCTCTGCAGCGCGCCTCGGTTCTCCCGCAGCACACGGCGGGGGGGAACGTGAAGGGGGCGCGCGCACGGATAATCAGGAAGGTAGTGTTCTGTTCCGTACCGTGAAACGAGGAAAGAAGGGCAGAGACGTGATGAGATGGATGGAGGAGAGTACTTCAAAGCGGGAAAGTGGGAGGGAAGAATGAAATGGTGGGAGGAGAGGAGAAGAGTGGAAGGGAGAGGTGGGGATGAGGTGAGGCGGGATGGGGTGGGGTGGGGTGGGGTGGGGAAGGGAGAGAGAGGCCGAATGGAGAGCAGTAGAGGAGCGCGTGAAGGGGAAACCAACTGCATGGGTCGGTGAGTACTGTACAGAACAGAATTTGGAAAACCACCTGCCTGAACGACGCGCGAGGCTCTCTGATTGGTCCAACGGCGTCCCATCAATTGTGAGATGCCTTGCCATCTGCGCTCTGACAACACTTCCAAACAAGTTGTTATTTCGTGTAGCTACATTTTTGTGCGAACAGATATATTACTGATCAAAGTACAGTGGAACGTAATATATTAGATTTTTTTAAGGCCATCATTTCCACAGGCTACACAGCGGGTATAATCTGGAATTTTGTTTATTCTGGAGGAGACTAAGGGAGAAATGAAATGAAGCAATGTAACAAAGGCATTGTGTGAGTTGGGAAAAGCTAGATTAACGTGTACTATTTTTGCAGCTGTACTTTTAGCGATCAGGCACTTTTCAAACCGCCAGCAGTATGCTTTTATGGAGGCGATTGCAGCCGCAGAAGTGCGAAGTGTGTCGGCAGCAGGACTGACGTCAGCAGAGAGATTGGCAATCCCAAGGGGTACTTCAGCGGCGATGACAGTCACTTACAAGACCCAAACAGCTTTAGCTGGCTCCACTTGAGGGTTATTTTATGATGGTAATTTGGAAAATAGAGTAGTCCCATTCTAGCTTACGCTGACTAAGACCAGAGACGGCCGTGAAAGTCTATCGCATGAATCTGTGGTCATCCGTGCTTCACTAGAACCGTCGGAAGCGTAGACGAATCCTCTCGAGGTGAATTTTGAGTCGATTCAAAAGTCAAGGCTAGAGACAGCCGTGAAGTCTATCGCATGAATCTTTTGAGTCGACTCAAAAGTCACCTGTGGTCATCCGGGCTTCACTAGAACCGTCGGAAGCGTAGACGAATCCTCGCACGGTATGCCATCTGATCGTCGCTAAGGCTCCGCACACATTAAATATAGCCCTGACAGATTTGTCATCTCAGGTCTAGCCCTGACAGTACTCTGAGGTCATCTGTCAGACCTGTTTTGAGTCGTCGCCTATTCTGACAAGATTTGTATCAGATTTGTCTCTCCTGCTTCACCGCCTGCTCATCGTATCACTATCGCTGATTCCCGCATGGTAACGCCACTGTTGAACCACCACGATAAGTTAACCACGGAAACACTTCAACCATGGCGGCGGTTACCCCACCGCTTCTCCTTTCCGGCATGGCCGTTCGCGTATTCGCACAACCCAGGAAGATTTCCAGCAAATCGTCCATATCTTCTGGGAAGCTTCCCTCCTCTCCAGGCCTGCTCCTTGCCTCTCCAAGGTCGCTCTCTGCTTCCGCCCCTCAGAATGAAATCTTGACCAGACAGGGTTCGAACCCGGGTCGGGTGTTTGGAACATCTGCTGGACGAATTCTGGGAGGCAGAAACAGACCCGAGGTGCTTCGAAACTCTTCTGAGGGACCAAATATGCTTTCGAGCGGAGATGCATCCGGCAATCCCGAGGTTATTGGGCCAGAAGAAGGGCCAGAATCCGGTAGAAATCCGGATGAATCGAGGCCGAATCCAGATGCACTGAGGTGCGATTGCACTCTCGTGCACGGATCTGGGCGGATTGTGGATGGATTGACGCAAGATGGAAACACTGGAAACATTTTTGAGGCGCCTAAAAGATCGTCCCGTCATACAGGAGCCTGGCGCAATCCCCATAGCTTGAGGCGGGATGGCGGGTGTGGTGACAGTGTGTGCGGGAGCAACTGCAACGGCGGCAACAAGGGCAGAGGCAGCAGGAGGAAAAGTGGCGGCAGCAGCAATAGAAGCAGCCGGAGTAAGAGCAGCAGCAGCAGCGTTAGCAGCGGCAGCTGTAGCAGCAGCAGTGGCAGCAGTAGCAGCAGCAGTGGCAGCGAGAGTAGGGGACTTTCAACTTGGAGAGTCTCCTCTATAACGGTCACAAGCGATTCGTTACAAGGACAATCTGGTCCCGTTACAAGCATCCCACAGAGGAACACTTCATCTCCACAGAGGGCCAGGGCCCTAGAAACGGTCGTTCGTTATAGTCATGGGGAGAAGCCCTCTCTGTTGATGGATGACCAGGCCCTGCAGAACCTCCCGTTACAGTCACTTCGGACCCGTCACACCCCATACAAGGGATCTGATGGTGGTCAACGTGACTATAGCGGGAGCAGCAGCAGGGTGAGAGGAAGTGGCAGGGGCAGGGGCAGGCCCGGCAGGGGCAGGGTGGGGGAGAGTGGGAGGGAGGGGGAAAGAGGGAGGGGAGAGGAAACCCGGGCGGACAGACGGAAATCGTGGGTACAAGAAGGTAGGTCAGGGGAGGGAGGGAGGAGGGGAGAGGAGGAGGCAGATGAGAGAGGTGCGAGAGCGAGGGCTGCTGCGCTGCAGAAGTGGCTAGAGGAGGGGTATGCGCTGCTGTATGGCTCCCATAGCCCTCCTGATGCCTATGGCTCTCCTGATGTCTATGGTACTCGTGATGCCCCTGGTGCTCCTGATGTCTATGGTACTCGTGATGGCGTTGGTGCGTCTTCTGGTGGTGTTCGTGATGGCGTTGGTGGCAGTGATTATGCTGATTCTTTGAATTCAGGAAAGGCTGGCGCATGCGCGGGAGAATTAGCGGCAGAGGCAGCACAGGCAGCACCACCAAGCCCAGTACGAGTAGATTCGGCAGCAGCAGCACCAGCAGACCCAGCAGATCCAACAGGAACAGTCTCAGCAACAAGAGGGTCAGCAGAGTTATCCCCGTTTAAGGGTGCTTCGTTTCTGCAAGTGCCGTTTCTGGAAGTGGAGAAGATACCGGAAGGGCAGAGGTCGGCTGTAGCGTCAGCTGTAGCCAGGGAGATGTGGACGGCAGGCGCCGCCCATATCGTGGCGGAGATCTGCCGCCAGGTAACCCCTTCCCCGCTAGCTGCCGAGCTTGGCCGCTCGGTCCTGCCCTGGACGGCCCACGATGACGCCTGGCTGTTTCCTGCTGCTCCTGCTTCCAGCTCTGCAAAGGGTGCTGCTGGTGACTCTGGTACAGCGTTTACTCGTGCTTCTGCTGGTGATGCTGCTGCTCCTGCTTCCAGCTCTGCAAAGGGTGCTGCTGGAGCTGGAAGCAGGAGCAGCAGCAGCAGCAGCAGCAGCAGCAGCAGCTCTGCTGGTGACTCTCGTGCTCCTGCTGGCGATGCTGCTGCTGCTGCTGCTGCTGGTGCTGGTGGGTTGAGCATGGGTCGGATGAGGATGAGGAGAAGAAGTACGAGCCTTGAAGCTGGTGTGCGGGAGGCAGCAGCAAGCGGGCGGCATGCCACAGAAAGTGGGCGGCATGCCACAGAAAGTGGGCGGCATGCAGTGGCTGAAGGTGGAAGGCAGAGGAAGAGTGGTGCTCATAACCAGGGATGGATCAACGGAGAAGTGAAGAGAGATATGGATTTGAAGGCGTTGGGAGGAGGAGAATCGGCTATTAGGGAAGATGAGAGGGAGGCATGGAGGAAGGCGTGGAGGGAGGCAGGGAGGGAAGCAACGAGGCAAGCAGGGAGCGAGGCAGGGGGTGGGGAGCAGGAGGGCGGAAGTGAGGCGCGGGGAGTAGAGAAACGGGGAAGAATTAAGCGTGGGAGCAGCAAGAATTTGAGGAGTACGGATGGGGGGCGTGTGGGGGGGATGGATGGTGCACATGCAGCTATGGGGGGGATTGGTGTGGCATGGGAGAGGGGAGCTGCAGCATCTGGGGGTCGGTTGAGCCAAGAGGAAGCTGAGGCTTACAGTCGCGTGATGAAGGTGAGTGAGTGGGTGAGAGAGAGGGAGTGTGAGTGAGGGGCGTGTTACTGAGCAGTGATCGAGTGTGGGCACGCACGCGCACATGCATGCGGTGTTCGTCTGTGTGCGTGTTCACCATTCGTGGGCGCTCTTCCCTTCCCACCCACATGCCTCGTATGCTCTCAGGCAGTAGTGCAGCTCAACGTTCACCAGCGCAGGGTCGTTACCAGCGGTACCAGCACCAATAGGAGCAACAACATCAGCAACAGCAGCATCGCCAGCAGCAGCACCAATGGCAATGGCCGTCAAAACAGCACCAGCAGGCACGCATCACCACAGGCAGCAATGAATGCAGACGAGCACCGTGTGGTGCATCTGGGTCACGCGGATCACACAGCCAATGACAACAACCGTGCCCGGGACCTTGTACATCTGTAAGTAAGCACGAGCATCTTGATATCCACGTATCCTTAGCACCCTAACGTGGCTCATTCATAACAGCTTTCGTACACCCTTGGCACATATCCCCTTAGCTTTCAGACCCCTTTTGCTGCCCGCCCCCTTCGTTAGTTCAGTAGCCCCCAGGTGGATCATACCCCCAAACCCACACCCTCACCCGTTCGCCCCCACCCGCACCCCAGGGCGGCCCAGGCGCCCTTGGCTCAGCAGCGCCTGGTGGCGGCTCATTCAGGGCTGGTGCACTCCATTGCTCGCCGCTTCTTCGGCCACGGGGTGTCCCTCTCCGACCTCTACCACGTGTGTGAGGGGATGGGGTGAAGGGATGCACTTTCGGAGGTGGGGGTTAACAAGGGGACGATGGGGAAAATACCTTCTTTCTTCGGCCAGTTTTCTCCCTCCATTTCTCCCATCGTTACCTGCAACGCCCCCTCTCACCGCTCCGCCCTAGGTCCAACTATTGAATAAACAAGAAAAATGTTTTCCTTCTTTTGCTCTTCCCAACCGCTCCCTCCATAATCTGTGCACCAGGCGGGAGTGACGGCCCTGCTGCGAGCTGCAGCAACATACAGCCCCAACCTCGGTTCCCTCGCCTCTCCTCCAGCCTCGGGTTGATTCCCCAGTCGACCTGGAGATCATTGTTTTTTTCTCTCTCACCCCCATTCTCTGCACCAGGCGGGAGTGACGGCTCTGCTGCGAGCTGCAGCAACCTACAACCCCAATCTCGCCTCTCGAGCCTCAGACCCCCCCACTCAACAACCCACCAACTCCGCCCAATTGAGAGCACAAGGGGAGGATAAGAAGGAGAAGGGGGATAAAGAGGAGAAGGAGCGGAAGGAGAATAAGGAGGGTAAGGTGAAGGCATGGCAGGAGGACGAGTATGGAATGAGGAAGGGCCGGCTGTGGGCCCTGCCCGGGCTGCGGAGGAGAGCTGGAGTGGAGGGCAAACGGGGAAAGGCAGTGAGGGGGGGAGGGGATTTGGTGGAGGGAGGAAGCAAAGAGAATGCGGGGATGAGAGGAGAAGAGGAAGGGAAGGGGTTGGGGCAAAGGGTGTGTGAAGGGCCAGCTGACATTACACAGAAGGCGATGCAGGAGGAGAAGGGCCTTGCAATCAACTCAAATGAAGAGCAGGGAGAGGTGGTGGAGAAGAAGGAGGAGCAGCAGCAGGCGATGTCCTTCTCATCATGGGCCAGCCGTCTTGTTTACCAGGTGAGGCACCACCCCTCGCTGTAACCCCCACCCACCACGCGCTCCTCTCGCCCCACTTCCCAGCAGCAGCAGCAGCAGCAGCAGCAGCAGGCAATGTCCTTCTCATCATGGGCCAGCCGTCTCGTCGATCAGGTGATCAGTCTTGGCAATTCTTCACCACCTTTTTACCTACCTGCCACCACCCCCCCCCCCCCCCACCCTCACCTTCCCACACCGCTTCGGTTCCTTCAACCCCATCTCACTCCCCCACGCACCTTTGGATGCCCATTAACCCTTCCATTCTCCTCTCTCCCCCGGCTCACCAGACCCTCCAGCAGGAGGTGTGGCGCCGGTCGCCAGTCTTCTCCTTCCCACGCTACGCCTACTTTCAGTACGCCGAGATTTCGGCTGCCTATGCTGTAAGCACTCTTGCTCTCTCTCTCTCTCTCTCTCTCTCTCTCTCTCTCTCTCTCTCTCTCTCTCTCTCTCTCTCTCTCTCTCTCTCTCTCTCACCCCTCTTGATCTTCCTGTCTCTCGCGCAGGTTGTTTCTGAAAATTCTCAGAAACAACCTGCAACGTTTCAGGCACTTCTGAAGCAGGTAGTGCACTTATATGTGCCTTGGATTGGATTCCAGATCCCTCAGCCTTGAATCCATTCTCTTTCATCCTCTCCCTTTGAGTCGACTCAAAAGTCACCTCGTTTTGAGTCGACTCAAAAGTCACCTCGTTTTGAGTCGACTCAAAAGTCACTAGGTAGTGCACCTATATGTGCCTTGGATTGGATTCCAGATCCCTCAGCCTTGAATCCATTCTCTTTCATCCTCTCCCTCCATAACCTCCCTGATCACTCACTCTGTCTCCCCAACTTTCCCCACCACCTCTCACCTTCTGCCCCCACGCAGTCATTTCGCAAGCAGCACGCCCGGGAACCCACCCTCGCAGCCCTCTCAGCCACCACCAAGTGACTTCGAAGCCGGTCCAAAAGCCTCTCTCTCCCTTTGCCCCTCACCCTCCGCCCCCACCCAGTCTTTCCGCAAGCAGCACGCCCGGGAACCCACCCTCGCAGACCTCTCAGCTGCCACCAGCCTCTCACCCCAACGGGTATGCTGCGGAATTTACCCGTGAACCTTAGGGTAGGTTCGGAATTTGCCCTTAACTCAACGGGTAGGTTACGTAATGTGCCAATGAACGCAGTGGGTGGGGTATGCCACAATTTGTGCCCATGAATTTATGGTGACGTTGAGTAACATGCCCGCGATTTGCTGCAAGTTACCATCGCCCTTGCCTCCCTGTTATTCCTCTTGCCCACCAGATTGTGACTGTATCGAGGGCCATGGTGGGAATACACCTCCTGTATGCTCTTGGTATCCCTCCCACCAGATCGTGACTGTATCGAGGGCCATGAGGCGAGTGAAGAACCCACTCTCCTTCGACGTCTCCTCCCTGCCCAACCGCACACACGCTGAGACGTTCTCCTCTGATAAAACAGACCCCTGGCAGGTGGGTTTGAAGGAGGGTTGAGAGTGGAATGGGGATGAGAGGGGGATGGGGATGAGAGAGGGATGGGGATGAGAGAGGGATGGGGATGGGGAGTGAAGAAGCCACTCTCTTTTGACGTCTCCTCCCTGCCCACCCGCACCCATGCTGCTACCTTCTCCTCTGATAAGACGGACCCCTGGCCAGTGGGTCTGAGAGGAGGGATGAGAGTGGGGATGAGAGGAGGGATGAGAGTGGGGATGAGAGGAGGGATGAGAGTGGGGATGAGAGGAGGGATGAGAGTGGGGATGAGAGGAGGGATGAGAGTGGGGATGAGAGGAGGGATGAGAGTGGGGATGAGAGGAGGGATGAGAGTGGGGATGAGAGGAGGGATGAGAGTGGGGATGAGAGGAGGGATGAGAGTGGGGATGAGAGGAGGGATGAGAGTGGGGATGAGAGGAGGATGAGAATAGGAATAGAGTGCATGCTGGTAGCACGTGACGCAACCCCCCAATGTTCCGCCCTGCCCAACCGCACACACGCTGAGACAATTTCCTCTGATAAAACAGACCCGTGGCAGGTGGGTTTGAGAGTGGACTGAGAGGAGGGATGAGAACAGGGATGAGAACAGGGATGCGATATCGTGCTATGAGAGCACTTTGTTAGCATGTGTGTGGTCAGTCATTCCAGCGAGCTGCAGTTCTTAAGGAGAAGGTTTAACAAAGGTTTAACAGAGAAGGGATGAGAATACGGATGAGATATCGTGTTATGAGAGCACTTTCGTAGCATGTGACGCAACCCCCTATCCCTCTTCCCTGCCCAACCGCAACCGTGCTGAGTCCTTTTCCTCTGACTATGGAATCTACGGAATCTACTGTACTGGACTGGACTGGACTGGACTGGACTGGACTGGACTGGACTGGACTGGACTGGACTGGACTGGAATGGACTGGACTGGACTGGACTGGACTGGAATGGACTGGACTGGACTGGACTGGACTGGACTGGACTGGACTGGACTGGACTGGACTGGAATGGACTGGACTGGACTCATAAGAACACCTGGTCCTTCTCTCACACGATCTCCCCTTCTTTCGAGCCGACAGTAACAACCTCCTCTCTCCCCCCTCCGCACCCCCCCCCCTCCCTCCTTCTACTCCCCCTGTTCTTCCCCATCCAACAGCATCTAGTGAGCTCTGCTTTTGAGTCGACTCAAAAGCAACCCCCCCTCCTTCTACTCCTCCCGTTCTTCTCCTCCTGTCTTCCCCGCCCAACAGCGTCTACTGGACTCAGAGCATCTGGTCCTCCTCTCACACGCTCTCTCCTTTTTTTTGAGCCGGCAATAACAACCTCCCCCGCCTCTCCTTCTACTCCTCCCGTTCTTCTCCTCCTGTCTTCCCCATCCAACAGCATCTACTGGACTCGGAGCACCTGGTCCTCCTCTCACACGCTCTCTCCTCCCTCGACCCGCACCGCCGCCTCGTGAGTGCACTTTTGCTAACACATGGGCAGAGGCGGCGGGTACAAATGGGTAGTGGTGCGTACAAATGAGCAGAGGCGGTTACAAATGGGCAGAGGCAGGTACAAATGAGGGTACAGAGGGGCAGAGGTGGGTACGGATAAGCAGAATCAGCTGCAATTCTCTGTGCATGTGCCGTGTGTTCATGCACCTTCCCTAAGGAGTCGTGTTTTGAGTCGACTCAAAACACGACTCATTACAAGCGAAGGCAGCTGCAATTCTCTATGCATGTGCCGTGTGTTCATGCACCTTTCCTAAGGTCGTTGCAACGACGTTCGCCGTTCCTCTCCCTGACTTGCACCGCCCTCGCCCCCTTCGTTTCTGCACCCTGAATGAGCAGATTCTGGAGCTTCGGTTTGGCTTGCGGGGGTCTCGCCAAGTCTCACAAGAGGAGGTGAGTGCATGCTTCGGTGTGGCCTGCATGCATCATTCCACTTGGTGCACCATTTGACAAGTGACGATGCACTGTGTTTGACATTCGTTCTTGCGTGTTTTTTCACAGATTGCTGCAGCGTTGGGGATGACACTCAAGATGGTGTCTTACTTGGAGGTGAGTGTGTGTGTGAAGGGGAGAGGGGAGGGGTGTGGGTGCGGGCGTGTGCGTGTGCGTCATTGTGTGCGTTTTGCTTATTTCGTGGTTATTTTATACTTTCTAAGCTGTCATTTGTGGTTGCTATGTTTTGCGCGTGTTTGTGGTGGTGGTGGGGGGGGAGGGGAGGGGGGGGGGGGGTGCGGGCGTGTTCGAGTGTGGGTGCGTGTGCGTGTGCGGAACGCACGGGTGTGTGTTTGTGCGCACATGTGTGTGAGTCACATTGCAGGTTTCAGCATTGAAGCAATTGAGGAAGGCATGTGTGGGTGGCACAAATATGAAGTGATAGTGTTGTTACATATATATACGGTACTATCCCCATCTGTGAAAAAAACAGTTTTCACTTGCTAAAGCTGGTATGTTGTATCCCTGTGTGAAAAGTGCTCCGAACTGCGGTACGTAAGGGCGTATTCCTACGGCCTCCTATCAAGGCCACCTCCTATCAGGATTGTACATTTTGCCTGAGAAAAGTAGCGAGAGGTTTTGGGTTTAGGGGATTTTTCAGTGTGAGCTTGATAGGAAGTCAGATTGATAGGAGGATAGGAATACGCCCTAAGAATACAGCAGAGGCACCTGAGAGTAGCTATTTGCTGCGATCAGAGGATGATCGCTGCCAGGATCTTCTCAGGAATGTTCGCACGTAGATAGGTAGACTAGGTGGGCCCTTGACCTCAATAGCAGAGTGAATGTAAAATGCTTGAGATGAATCAAAACATGCAAATACAGCGATATAAATAAGAGTACAGGGGGATATGAATCGACCTAGCTAGCCATGTACTCTAAGGGGTACATTCCCTTATTCAAATTCATTCCCATCCGTGCGGCGCGTACTGTTACGAAAACGGTTCCCGCCCAATGCCTCCTGACTGCAGCTGCCTGATGCCGTCTGCTCCGACGGTCCAGATCCACGCTAACCGTCTGACGCTTCGAGTCAATTCCGACTCCTCGCATTCGTTCTCGTTACTGCGTGTTTCCTTAGCTGCGGTGAGGAGTGCACTTGTGATGTTCAGGCATTACTATTCGTAACACCCCCCTTCACTCCTGGCCGCAGCTCGACTTGACCTGCTTGACCACTCCGTTGAGTTCGGAGCAGTGCTGATACTGCTGTCGTGGCAGTCGCTTCGTGAGAAAGTCTGCTGCCATGTCACCAGTCGGGCAGTAGGTCAAGTCAACCTTGCCCTTGTCCACTTCGTCCTTCACGAAGAAATACCGCAGCGCAATGTGCTTGGTGCGGTTGACGAAACCAGGTTTGTTCGCGATGCGAATCGCGCTCTGGTTGTCGCAGTGAAGACGGAAGGTGGGCGAAGCTGGAATTTTCGCCTCCTGCAGGAGTTCCTGCAAGTAGAGGCCTTCGCGAACTGCTGCGGTTGCTGCGATGAATTCCGCTTCGGCTGACGACAGGGCAACCAACTCCTGCTTCTGCGAGTTCCAAGAGATTGGTCCCGTTGGTTCGAGTCGGAACAGGAAGCCAGTCCTGGACCGTCGATTGTCGGGATCTGCTGCGTGATCGGCGTCCACGTAGCCGATGAGGTTGAAGGATGGGGTTGGTGCAGTTGAGTAGCACAGCCCAATCTTGGGCGTTGAAACGAAGAACTGTAGGGCGCGCTGCAGGTCCAGAAGATTCTCAGCCGTTGGTTTGCGTGAGTACTGGGCCAGCTGACTTGCGATGTAGGAGAGGTCTAGCCTGCAGGTGACAGAGGCGAAGAGCAGGCATCCCAACTGCTGCTGGTAGGTCTGAATTCCAGCGGGGGATAGGGCTTTGCTGTCAGGTTTGTGGTTCGGTCCGGGAGTTCGGTAGGGAGTAGAGAGTGGTGCAGGTGAAATGTTGAACCGCTTCCCTAACTCCTCTACGTACTTAGCCGCTGAGAGGTGAATGGCCTCAGGCGCGTAGGAGATGTTGAGGCCTAAGAACTGCTTCACCTCATAGTTGCATGTGATGTCGACGCGCCCCGCCAGAGCCTTCTCGAATTGCTCGAGCAGTTCGTTGCTCGATCCTGTGTAAAGTAGGTCGTCGACGTAGACCGTGAGCAGAATGTATTCGCCGCGGAAATCGCGGCGATACATCCCAGGATCGTGCGGCATCTGCTTGAACCCGATTTCAAGCAAAATGTTGTGCAGATACTGCTGCCACAGCCTCGGTGCCTGCTTGATCCCGTAAAGGGACTTGCGCAGTTGACACACGTGCGAGTCCCCTTCGCCGTATGCATGCGGCTGCTCCACGTAGATTACGGCGTATAATAATGCGTACAGGAACGCGTTCTTGACGTCGATCTGGCGGAGAGGCAGGTGCCTTGCGGCTGCGATGGCGAGCAGGATTCGGACGGAGGTGTGGCGACTGACTGGAGAAAACGTCTGGTCGAAGTCGATCCCATGCCTTTGGTCATAGCCACGCACCACCCAGCGCGCTTTAAAGCGCTCGATCGTTCCGTCTGCTGCGGTCTTCACGCGGAAGACCCATTTCCCTGATAGAACTCTTGCACCCTTGATTGCTGCGCGGTCGACTAATACCCAGGTGTCTCTGGATTCGAGGGCTTTGATCTCCACATCCATCGCCTCGCGCCACTCCTTGCTGTGTGGTCCAGTGAGGGCTTGGCGCGGGTTTCGTGGCTCGATGACACGTGGTGCCTTAGAGGTTGCAGTGTGAAGCCCGAGCAGCTGTAATCCTGAGACAGTGCTGTCGTGGCGCCGTTGCGGGACGACTTCCTGCACGTCGTCGTCATCGCTTTCTGGTTCAGGTGGCGCTGGTGGTGCTGCGCCTCTGCCGCTTCCGCCTGTTCCGCCCATTCCTCCTCCAGAGGAATCGTCGTCGCTGTCATCGTTGTGGCGATCTCCCCATGTGAACTCGCCCATGGTGTCCTGCTCCAGGATTGCTGCCGCAGCTTCGTCCTCGGGTGTTGCGTAGCTGTGCCCATCGTTTGAGTAAACACGGTTTGCATTCGTCTGCTCGTCGTGGCGGAACTGGTCGAGGAAGAGGAGCTCGTAGAAGATTACGTCGCGAGCGTGGGCAGTCTTCTGACTGAGTAGGTCCAGCACGATCCACGCCTTGTACTCGTGACTGATGCCTAGGTGAATGCCCCATCGCGCGCGACTGGCGAATTTTCCGATGGTCGATGTCGGCGGGCGGTATTGCACCATACACCCCCATACGCGGAGCATGGATGTGTCCCCCTTAGTCCTGGTCCATTTCACGTGCGGGGACAAGTTGCCGGTGATGGCGGTGGTTGACAGCAGGTTGTGCACCCGCACGGCGTGGTGCATCGCCTAGGTCCAGTAGGTCGGTGGCAGCTTCGACTGCTTCATCAGCGCCCGCACCTTCGTCATGAGCGTGCGGTTCGTCCGCTCGGCTACGCCCTGCTGCTGATGTGCGTAGGGGAGAGAGATGTGGTGCTCAATCCCCTTTTGCGACAGGTAATCTTGCATCTGCTTGCTCCTGAATTCTGCAGCGCCGTCAGATTGCCAGATCTTCAGTTTCTTCCCGGACTGCCGCTGCGCGTGTGCTAGCCAGAGGCGGAATACCTCGTAGGCTCTGTCGCGTGACTCCACGTTTGCGACCCACACGTGGCGTGTTCCAGCGTCGATGAAGGTAAGTGTGTACATTTCGTCGTCAACTCCGCAGTGCCCCACGTTCAAGAAGTCGCTGTACACCTTGTGCAGCTTGGGGTAGCGGTTCGTTCCTGGCTCGAGCAGCGGGAACGGCTGGTGGCTTAGTGCGGCTTCGGGGCAGACGGTGTAGTTGCGCGGATGTGTCGCGCCTCTCACTTCAGTACCATCTGGGCGCAGGAGCGCTCCAGGAGCGAAGACGCCTGCGTCGATGCAGTTTTTCAGCGTCGCGCGTGAAGGATGTCCGAGACGCTGGTGCCAGAGTGCATCGTCAGCGCGAAAGCCGGAGGTGCGCATGTAGCGCGCGCGAGCTTCTTCGGGATCTTCGTCAGGTACAGGGGCAGGTTCTGCTACTGCCTCTTCTGCTGCTTCTTCTTGGTCGTTGGCGGTGGTCATCATTAGCGCCAAAAACTCCCTGTCGCAGATTTCGGAGAGGGGAATATTGGTCCCAGGGATGGTTCCCGGGACAAAGGTGGGTTCACGTGGTTCAGGTGCGGGTCCGTAGACGGTGCGACGCGGGGTCCACGGCTCGTTGCCCCAGTCGATGGTGTCCCAAGGATCGCGATAATGCGAGTGGAACGTGGCGTGGTGGACGACCAAGGGGAACAACTGCAGGAGCATCTGCTTCTTCTTCTCCCCCCTTTTGTTCTTCGCGGGAAGTCCCCCAGCCGCTGTTGTCGGCGCTAGTTGCGGCGCCCCATCCACCCCGTGCGCTGGCCCAGGTTCCGCCGCTGTTTCCCCAACCGCCGGTGTCGCTCGTTCCCCATCCGCCAGCGCTTCCCCACCCCCCTTCATTGGAGGCACTTTCTTCCGCTTCGGCTCCCCACGCGCCGCAGGCGAACGTTCCGCGAGCTTCGGCGAGACTTTATTGGCGAAGCTCTTCAGCTTCGGGGCGCGCCAGTTCTTCTTCCTGCTCCACGGTAAGTCTCTTCGACGGGTCGCGTCGATGAGAGTAGATTTCCAAAAAATTTCTCGTGGGTGTAGGGTCGCGGCACGCCATGCGCATCAAAGGTTCCGACGCCAGTGCCGCGTAGCATTCCTTGCAGGTGTTGGGAGGGGGGTCCGATGAGAGGGTGTTTTGGCGTGCCGAACACGCCCCGCGTGGTGACTTCAAGCTCTAGTTGTGACATTCCTTCCTCTGGCGGCGCGTGGCGCTCGGCTTCGGCGATGGCGGCGAGTCCGCGGCCGGCGATTGCGCTAGTTGACGCTGTTGGTGTGTGGCAGTCTTTGCAGATGCCGTCTGGGTCAGGATCGTGTAGCGC